ATTACTAGCTATGCATCAGAGACCTGGACAATGAACAAGATTGACAGAAAAACAATTGATGCCTTTGAGCTGTGGTGTTGGAGAAGAGCACTGATTATTTCATGGATGGTCAAGATGACGAATAGATATGTCTTAGGGTACAGCAGGAGTGCCTTTTTTTTTTAGATTTTATTAACAGTGTTTCTCTTTCCTCAGTCAAACCCTTTCCCAATCTCTTTTCCCAGGCTGCCTGGGGAGTTACAAGGAAAGAACACATAGGGTAGATGAGACATGGGGAGAGAAAACCAACAAACTATGGGAGGTGGAGATGGCTTCTTCACATGGCGAAGAGGATCAGAAAGGCCACCATCAGGCAAAAGAGCTCCATGGCCTCTGAGAGGGCAAAGCCCAGAATGGCATAGAAGAGCTGCTGCTTCAGAAAAGGATTCCTGGCAAACCAATGATGAGACTCCCAAACACAGTCCCAACCCCAGCTCCAGAGCCAGCCACGCCAACCGTAGCAGCCCCAGCCCCAATGAACTTGGCTGCTGTGTCAATATCCCTTGAGATAGTGCTGGTTTGGAAGTTGCGACTAGGGGTAAAGGAAATCAAGGGATGTGGGGCTGTCAAGCAGCTGAAATTCTCCTCTGTCTCTGGTTGTTTCAGGACCACTGCAGACAATGGACAGCTCAGCAACTGAGAGGCACTCCTGATCAGGGAAGGGGTAGACACAAACTTGGTGTACATTTTCAGGGGATGAAGGGCTGTGGCAGGAAAGCTGCTCGTAGTGCAGAGAAGATAGTGGGGAGGAGACAGGAGTGCTCTTTTGAGGCAAGAATGATGAGGCTTCACCTAACATACTTTGGACATGTTAGGAGGTGCTATTCCTTGGAGGACATGATGTAGGGAAGAGTGGAGGGTCGATGAAGGAGAGGAAGATCCTCAACCAGGTGGATTGACATGGTGACGGCTGCAATGGGCTCTTGTATGTCAGGAAGTGTGAGGATGGCGCAGAAGAGGACTGATTTCAGATCATTTGTTCATAGGGTCACTATGAGTCACTCGACTCGATGGCACTTAAATATAACCGGAAATGCACAACGAGGCAAGGGCAAGGATAACATTAATGATTGAGACCTTCAAAAGATTAAGTTCCTGTGTGCATAAATTTTAGTAGGGTGAAAAAGCTGGAGACTGGAAAAAAATATTTGGCAATAACATCTCAAATAAGGGAATAACTAGAGTTGTCAGATCACTACAGGCCTTCCACTTAAAAAGGCTGATTATCCAATCACAAAAGACAAACTTTTCACAAAGGAAGACATTCAGGTGGTCAATAGACACGTGAGGAAATGCTCAAAATTATTGTTAATAAGAGATTCACATCAAAACCACAATGAGATAGCAGCAATAAATGTTGGAGAGGATGTGGAGAGATTGGTAGTCTCATGTACTGATAGAGGGACTGTAAACTGGTATAGACATTCTGGAAGGCAGTTTGCTGTTTCCTCAAAAAGCTGAGCATAGAAATCCCATTATGACCAGCTATTTTGGTGCTAGAAATAAACTCCTCTAAAAATAGAACTGAGACACAAACAGATTTGTATACCAATGTTCAAAGCAGTGTTACTGACAACAGCAAAAGAATGGAAATAAGGGAGCTCTGGTGGTCTAGAGGCAAGAAGCGGCACTCCAATCCTGAAGGTGTTAAGTTCGAATCCACCAGATATTCCACTGCAGACCAGATATTCCAATCTCCTCCTGTGCCAGTTGGACCTGATCTGGCAGTACACAAAAAAGAAAAATTTTTTAAAAAGCAATAAAATTTTAAAAAAGAATGAAAACAGCCCAAATCGCCATCAATAAATGGATTGAGAAACTGTAGTACATTCACATGACTGAATACGATATAGCACCAAGAAAGATTTTGTAAAATACTCTGTAACATGGGAGAGGCTAAAGAACATTAAACAGAGTGAAGTAACTCAGTCTCATAAGGACAAATACTACATAAGAGCACTACTGTAAACATGGAAGATAACTAGTAAGATGTGCATAAAAGTCCAAAAAGGGGAGGGAAAGGGCTAGAGGGTTGAAAATGGGGTGGGGGGAAATCACTAGAACACAATTGGTGGGCAGAAGGGATATGTGTGAAGGAATTAGGAAGATCTAATGGGGATGGAAGATTATCCAAAAACGACTGGAACAGCACATCAGCAGAGAACTGCCAGAAGTCCAGGCTGGGTTTAGAAGGGGTCGTGTTACTAGGAATATTGTAGCTGATGTTAGATGAATCTTAGCTGAAAGCAGGGAATACCAGAGGAATGTCTGTTTCATTGACTATGCAAAGGCATTTGACTGTGTGAATCATAACAAACTATGGCTGACTCTGACAAGAATGGGAATCCCAGAACACTTCATCGTTCTAATGCGAAACCTATACTTGGACCAGGAGACAGTCAGAACAGAGCACGGGAACACTGCATGGTTCAAAATTGGAAGGGAGTATGCCAGGGATACATCCTATCTCCACACCTTTCCAACCTGTATACATAACAGATTATCCGGGAGGCTGGACACTATAAAGAGATATGTGGGGTCAAGATTGGTGGAGGATCTATCAACAATCTGCTTTATGCAGATGACACAACCCTGCTTGCCGAAACTGAGGAGGACCTGAAGCACCTGCTGCAGAGGGTCAAGGACTGCAGCCTACAATATGGATTGAGGCTCAATGTCAAGAAGACAAAGATTCTCACCACTGGACCAATTGGCAGCATCAGGATGGATGGTGAAGAGACTGAGATTGTACACAGCTTTAGTTTGCTTGGCTCCATAGTCAACAGTCTCGGCACCAGCAGCCAGGAAATTAAAAGGCACAATGCCATGGGAAAGTCTGCTGTTAGGGACCTCTCCAAAGTGCTGAAGAGCAATGGTGTCTCTTTGGAGACTAAGGTGCGTTTGATACAGGCCAGGGTCTTTGCAGTCACTTGTTATGGATCAGAGAGTTGGACAATGACCAAGGAGGATAGAAGGAGAATTGATGCCTTTGAGCTGTGGTGCTGGAGAAGAGTATTGAGAATACCATGGACTGCTAGGAAAACAAACAGATTTGTCCTGGAAAGAGTTAAACCGGGCGGCTCCTTGGAGGCAAGGATTCCGAGGCTCCGTCTAACATATGTTGGATATGTTGTAAGAAGAGACCGGTCTTTGGAGGACATCATGCTGGGGAGGGTGGAGGGACAGCACAGGAGGGGAAGGCCCTCTATGAGGTGGACTGATTCAGTGACTGGGGTAGTCGGGATGGGAGTGTCAGAGACAGTGCGATTGGCACAGGACAGAGCAGAGGTTAGGGCTGTTGTACATAGGGTCGCTATGAGTTGCAAGTGACTCGATGGCACATAACAACCACCACCACCACCACCTCTGGGATTGCAGTGCAGCTTCTTGCCTCTAGGCCACCAGAGCTCCCTCTAAAATTATTTTTTAAAAAGTGCACTATCAAAAATGACAAAGTTCTGCCACTTTTCATGTATGTTACAAACCTAAAAACTTAATTAAGCTACTTGGTCAAGAGCAACATCTCATCCACATGACTCTGGTAAAGATTTACTGCTTCTGAGGGAAGAACAAAAATAAAATCTTCTGTCTCTAAGAAAATTAAGCAAACTTTTCCCCTGGATACAGCAAAGACCTACTGCTATGTCAGGAATGGTACAAGCAAAAATGCTTTTAGAGAGCTTTAAGAAACTGCCTTTGGCTCCACACCCTACCATGAAGACTGTTACACATGGAAGAAAAAAAAAACAAACCAAAACAGCACCGATGTTGAGGTACATTGGGAAAATGTGTTGTCAATGACCTCTCCATAATGCTCAACAGCAAAGATGTCCGTCTAAAGACTCAGGTGCACTTGATCCAAGCCTTGCTCTTTTCAATTGCTATGGATCTCAGAGCTGGATGACTATAGGTAAGAATCGACGACTGAGTTGTGCTAGGTAAGAGGACTGAATGTATGTTCATTGACTGCAAGGAGGACAAAAAGGTTTGACCCAGAGAGGGTGAAACCAAGTTGCTCCTTGGAGGCAAGGATTTTCAAGTTGTTTCACATACTTTGGGCATGTTCTCAGGAAAAGCGAGACCTTGCAGAAGGACATCATGCTTAGGGTAGGAGGTCAGTGAAAGGAATCAAGACCTTGGAAGAGATGGACTCAGTGACTATGGCAGTGGGGTCAGGAGTGTTGGAGACACTGAGGTTGGCTTGATATGTGCTGTCAGAGTCATCTGCATAGTGACCCTATGTACAACAGTCCTAAACCCTGTTGTATCTTATGCCAATCTCATTGTCTCCGATTAACCTACCCCGCCCAATATACCCCTGTCATTGAATGAGGTTGACTTAGGATAAGATAATTTTCAGAGTTGTTGATAGGGTTGCTATGAGTCATAATCAACTCAATGGCACATAACAAGAAGCCACCACAGGTATCAATTCTGAGGTCTATGGTCTTTGATATCATTAATCAGCAAGTAGTTTCAGTCTTCTTTCAGCAAATAAAGTTTTATCTGCATTTCACAGGTTGTTAACGAGTCATGCTCCAATCCTGATGTGGTGGTGTTCTTCACAGTCAGTCTACTCAAATTCCATGTTCACCATATAGGTTGAGGAGTGAAAGGCTATAACCTACAAACCATCTTTCCTGATTTGAAATCATATTGTAACCCTTTTGTTTTGTTCTTTTGGCCTATGTACAGGTTTTGTATAAGCGCAATAAAGTGATCTGTAATTACAATTATTCACAATAAACTGTTATCTAATTTGTCATAATTCATATGGTCACTAAAAAAAAATCAGGTCAACAATTTTCTGATATTTTTTGCTTTCTTATGATCAATCTGACATCAGCAAAGATATCTCTGTAGACAAGCGCACTCTAGATAAGCGAATTTTCTGTTATCTGCCTTTTCATGTAATATAAAATAAATAAAAATAAAATAAAATAAAATAAAAGAACACTTACCTTTACAGGAAACCACATATAGGAAGCATCTTCAGGATAAAAGAACATCCCATATTCTGGTTTAGACAGCTGTTGAAACATGCTTTGAAAGAACTCTTTCTGAGCTCTTTGAAAGTTACAGTTATCTTGTGGTTCTCCACTAAACGAAACCTGAGAAGAATCAGTAAATTATTATTTCCACAGTTTTGTGCAAATTCAGGCTCATTTAGTAACTAAGTGAACTGAATTATCTGGTAGCCACTATGGTATAGATCTTCCTTGTATTACTTCTTTTCATTTTCCTATCAATTCTATGATGCCCAGGGGGCTTTAAGTGTTTGATAACTTTCCCAGTGTTATATGACTAAGTGAGGTTGCTATCGTATACCATCTAGTCAGAACCAACTCACAGCCAATCCTCTACTAGGTATTCAGAGGCTATAAATTACACAGGAGGAGGCTGCCCATCTTTCTCAAGAAGCAGCTGGTAGATTTGAACTTCATGCCTTTAGGTTGGCTGTGCCATTGCTTACCAGCAGGCCAACCTGTATTTGATCTTATGTCTGAAATCCTAAATCTTCAGTCTATTAAATTTACAACAAATGGTATTATTACAATTATATACTGCACTAAGTATAACCAAAATAGAAATACAAGGATTTTCATTAAAATGCTTATTTGTAAGTGGTCCTAGTTTGACCATTTTCTTCTCACAAAAGTATCTGCCTGTTAATATCAATCCTTCCCAAAATCATTCCATCTTAACCCATCTTTGCTGTGTTAATTGCTCCTTCCATTCTTTTTTCCTTTGTATAATCTTTCCCTGCAGTTTATGAAGGTGTTTAGTCTCTCACCTATCATCACAACAGCAAAACCGAACAGCACTGGTTCCAGCAACAACAGCTTCTACCCTACATTGCTAAACTTCAGACAAGAATGCATACCAACTTCCAAACTTGCTTCTCCACTTAAATAACTATCCCCAACTTAAGTGTTGTTGTGTACCATAGCTGATCCTCCAGCGGGTTTTCACAGGCAGTTTCATGGGAGGAGAATGCTCTTCTTCCTCTGGCAGAACAACTGGTGGATTCAAATCATGTGCCTTCAGGATTGTAGCAGTTTCTTACCACTAGGCCACCAGAGCTCAACTATATACCCTTTAACCCCCAATTACAACGACTTTTTCTGTCTCATCTGATTTCATGAACTCATTTTAACTACTAATTCCACTGTTTTGGAAAAGATGGTACCTTTGTAAGAATTAAACAGTCAAACAGGACCACTTACAAATAAGCATTTCTCTTTCTTTCTCCTAAGTACTTAAAAACAAAAATAAGACAACCAACCACTAAAACAAAACCTTAAACTCATCACTGTCTAGTTGGAACCAACTCACATGACCCTCCAGCAAGTTTTCTGAAGCTCTCAATCACACCTGAGGAGACTGCCCATCTTTCTTCATGGTGGCTGGTGAACCCAAGTTGGCAGAATAGCACTGCCTTAGGTAACATGGCTTAACTCCCTACACACTGTGCCACCAACATGCTCCTATACTACTTTATGTATATAAGTTCTTATTTCTGTCTTTTCCATGATGCTTGATCCTGTGGTTTTTTTTTCCTTGAAATCCTGCCTATTCTTTATTTAGGATCTTTTTAAAAAAAATTAACTTCACTTTTCACCTGCGGTCTCTGAGTTTTCAGAGGCAGTAAATTACAAAAGAGAAGACTGCTTATCCTATGGAGCAGCTGGTGAGTTTGAACCTTGGATCTCTGAGATAGCAGCATCAGTTCTTACCACTAGACCACCTGTTAGGAGTTGGAACCAGCTCAATGGCAGTGAGCGAGTCTAGGTATAATAGGAAAGAGGAAAACCTGAAGCCAATCAACCTCCACGACAAAGGGAATGTCTTCTTTATGAAAATTAATAATTCAATGTTTTTTCTCAGAAACAAAAATGTGAGAATTATACATTACCTGTAATGCCCTCCACAGTAATTGCTTCTCAAACCAATCTGCTTGAGCAAAAGTATCCTCAACTAAGTTGCGCCTTCTGATCATTAGTTGAGAGGCAGATGACACAGATGCTAAGTTTCTTGGTCCTTTCAATATTATAAAAACTGAGTTCTGGGAAAAATGAATCCAGTTAGCCACTGTCTTTAAGTAGAAATGTAGAAAATAGAGTAACTTGGTTTCGTGTGTCAATGTTTATCATGACCTTTCTAGAGTTCACCAGAGATGAGCTATACATTCAATATTATTTCTTGGTAAACATTCATTGAGTTGACAATGTGTATAAAAGGAAGCACTTTTTACAAGTCTTATTATGGTGTCACAGAATTTGTCATGTGTCTTTGAGTCAGAACCAATGACACTCATTACCACTCACATCAGCCATTAACTAGTAGCCTATTGGAAAAAGCCGCATTGCAAGCCCAAAGGCGTGTGCTTTGAGACGCTCTGCAGGCAAAGGATGGGCAATCTCCCTCCTTGCAACTCACTGCCTCTGCAAACCCACTTGAGGATCATCCATGTGTTGGTTGTGACACAATTGCACAGAACATTACTATCATGGACTGTCAAATTGGAACCAACTCATAACTGACCCTCCAGTGAGTCGTCAGAAGCTGTCAATCATTAGGAAGAGATTTGTCCTCTAACAGCTGGTAGATTTGAACCACGTGCTTTTGGGTTGACAGCTTAACTCCTTATCACTAAGCCACCAGAGCTCCCTATGACTATAGAAATACAGTCTTAAGGGACCTAAAATCCATAATCTGTAATGCTTCTGAATTGTAATTTCAAGAATCAAAATGGGCTCAAACATCACGAGGGTGACACAGGACAGGACAAGGTTCCGATCAGATCCTTTGTCCACAGGGTCACTTTTGTAGCTACAGTTAACTTGATGGCACGTAAGAGTTGCCACTTTTCTTCCTGTTCCTATATATTTTCATTCAATTGAATCTACTTCAAATTGTTTAGGACTAATCTAGGCCAAGTATACTATGCAGTACTGTACCGTAAAGTTACCACCATCAAGTGAAAGCTTTACAACTAGGCCAGTTTCTCAAGCTCTTCTTAAGCTGCTGAAACCTTGATATGCTTCAAGACCTATCTAACCCCAATTATGAGTATGCTTTCTACATTAGAGTAGGAAGCTCCCAAATGCTAATCCCAAATTCACCACTGCCTATCTGCCTTACATGCAAAATATCAAACACAGATAGAAATTTATTATGGCAACTGTTATTTAAGACAAAAAAAGAATTGTTTATATACATACCTTCATTTCTAATTTTGATTGAGCATGTAACAACTTGGCTTTAGACAGACTACATAAGACAAATGGGAAGTGGCTGAATATGGCATAAGGTGAATGCTTTTTTGAGGTGCCCTAAAAATGGAAATGACAGTTTGTTATTAAGTACAAAGAAATGTTAACAATTACCTTGTAGCCTTGTCTTCCTAACTGACTGAAGTTTTAGTGCTTGTAGCAGAAGCAATCCCAATTTCTGCTCAGTTGTCATTGTTTTAAGCTGCCATTATGTGGCCTATGGTTTGCACCAAGCCTATGAACAAAGCTGAACCCTGATGTCACCGTATCTAATATGCTGAAGCCCACTGTTACCATCACCATCAATCCTTGTTGAGGGTCCTTTCTCTGACCCTTTTCTACCTCACTTTTTCCAGTATGATGTCTTATAGAGGGTCTTCCTCTCACCCTTAACCTTTCCCAGTAACATGTCTTATTCCAAAGAGTGGCACCTCCTGACATGCGAGACAGTATGTGAGACAGTTTCACTACCCTTCCTGCTAAAGCACTTTGGTTACCTAGACAGTTTTGTTTGCTCTTTTGCCAGTCAAAGGAATATTCCATACTCTTCTCCAATACCACAATTCAAAGACATGAACTCTTCTATAGTCCTTAACTGGACAACTTTTAGATGCAGGGGAAGTAAGTGAAAAGGCCATGGCTTGAAACATGTTAGCATTTCAACTGACATCTTTTGCTCATGAACACTCGAGAAGTCCTGGACAGATTTTCCCAATGTTTAAATTTCTTGACTGCTGTCAAGCAAAATCGAATAGTTGACAATTTCCACCTTTTCTTCATCTATCATACTGCTGCCTATTTGTCTAGTGATGAGGATTTTTATTTTTTTGATGTTGAGATTTAGTCCATATTCAAGGTTCTAGTCTTTGATACTCTGAAGCAATTGTTTCAAGTCCTGTTCACTTTCAGAAAATAAGGTTGTGTTACCTGTATAATGCTGGTTTTTTGGGTTTTTCAAACACTGGTTTACCTACCAAGTATGTATGCACTGGATCTTTTCTCTTTCCTTTACCCACGCCTCCCTCCACCCATGAAATTTTGTGACCCTACGAATAAGAATGCCCCCATCCTTGTACTTATTTTACAATTATGGTCTTAAACAGAATTTGTCTTTATGGGACTGAGTTCACATTGCTCACTTAGCATAATGCTTTCCAGTCTCTCCCATCATTGCTCCTGCATGCTGCATAGTATTCAATTGTGTGAATGCACTATAATTTCTCAATCCATTCCATTGTGGTTGGACATTTGGACTATTCCCATGTTCTTGCCATGTTGAATAAGGCTGCTATGAATATTGATGTACAAGTCTGTTTGTGCCTCAGTTTTCATTCTCTCAGGGTATATTCCAAGCAGTGGAATAGCTGGTTCATATGGAATTTCTATGTTCAGCTTTTTGAGGAAATGTTAAACTGTCTTCCAGAGTGGCTGCACCATTTTACCATTTGACCAACAATGCATAAGAGTTCCTATTTCACCACATCCTTCCAACATTTCTAATTGTGGCCCCGTTAAACTTTCCACCTGTTACTGGAATGAGATGGTGCCTCATTGTGGTTTTGATTTGCATGTCTCATTGTCAGTGATTTGGACCATTTCTTTATGTATCTGTTGGCCATTCAAGTATCTCCCCCTGTGATAATTCTTTCCATGTCTTTTGCCCATTTTGTAATTGGGTTACCAGTCTTTCTTGTGGAGGCCTAGCAGTATTCTGTAAACTTTACAAAACTCCTGTCTGAGATGGTATTACCAAATGTTTGTTTAGTCAGTCGATTTTCTTTTCACCCTGTTGGATAAAGTTTGATGAGTACAGGGATTTAATCTTTAGAAGGTCCCATTCATCAATTTTATCATCTTTAGACTGCATTTCCGGCTGTCTTTGACAATCTCTATACTCAGCAGCTTTATATTTCTAAGCTTGATGCCAGTTTCTTGATCCCAGGCTCTTATGAACGTTAAGGTTTGGTTGGGGCTTTATTCTCAGGTCTTTGATGCACCTTGAGGTGATTTTTGTGTATGATGTGAGATGTGGATACTGTTTCAGCTTTATACAAGTGGCAGTCCAGTTTTGCCAACACCATTTGTTAAAGAGGTTGTCCTTTCCCCCTTTCACAGGTTTTATTTCCTTGTCAAGTATCAGTTGATCATAGATGGGACCATTTCTATGTTCTCAATTCTGTTTCATTGGTCTATGTCCCTGTCATTGTACAAGTACCATGCTGTTTTGGCTACTATTGCTGTGTAGTAGGTTTTGAGGTCATGGTGTGCTATGCTTCTCAATTCATTTATTTTTCAGAAGTGCTTTGTTTATTCAGGGTCTCTTTGCTCTGTAGATAAGCTAGACCATTTCCCTTTTGATCTCCTTGAAAATGAATGAAAAAATGAATTTGGTACTGTATTAGGATTGCATTTGGCAGAATTGTCATTTTCGTAGTATTGAGTCTTACTATCCTTGAAGACACAATTTTCCAGTTAGGTCTTTTATTGTGTCGTACAAAAATGTTCTGTAGTTTTCTTTATATAGGCTTTTTGTGGCTCCAGTTAGGTTCACTCCCAAGTATCTTAATTTGCACAGGTTGTTAATGAATTTTCCTCCCATCATGATGCCACGTTCATCCTGAATCATCTCCTCAGCATACAAAAAAATAGCTATGGAAAAACAATACAATCCTGATGCATACCTTTTCTGATTTTAAACCAGCACTATCCTATTATTCTGTTGAGATAATAGCTACTTGGTCTACGTAAGTTGTGTTCTGGGATTGCAGTTCTTCTCAATTTTATCCATAATTTGTTAATAGCCACATAGTCAAATGCCTTTGTGTAGTCAGTGAAACACATAAACATCTTCTGGTATTCCCTGCTTTTGGCTAAGATCCAGGTGACAGCAGTAATGATATCACTTATGCCATGTTTGCCTCTTCAATTTCTAACAGTTGCCTGTCAGCTTTGTTTGAATCATCTTCAATGGCAATTTACTTGCATGGGATATTAAAGGTATTGATAATTTCCATACTCTTGGTCACCCTTTCAGAACATATAAAGCTTCCTGAGATGGTTCTGTCAACAAATGCTTTTTATAGTCTTTCCATCTTTTTGTTTTCTGTATCATTCAATATTTTGTCCACAGAATACTTCAGCATTGCAATTGAAGGCTTACATTTCTTATTTGGTTCCTTTAGCATGATAAATGCTCATGTGGTCTTCCTTTTTGGTTTTCTAACTCCAGTTCTTTGCGTATTTAGTTGTAATACTTTGGTCTTCTTAGGCTACCTTTTGAAATCTTCTGTTCATCTCTTGCTTCAGTATTTCATTCTCTTTTGATCTCTATACATCCTCGTGGATTTTTTGAAAGTCTCTTCAAAGAGAACATCAAGATCGGAGAGATTCATCTGCATTATGCAGATGACAATCTTGCTTGCTTTATGTGAGGACTTGAAGCAAGAGGACTGCTTGCTGCACAAGATGAACAAATACAGCCTTCAATATTGATTGCCTCTCAATGTGAAGAAAATCAAGATTTTTACCACTGGACCAAAAGACAACATGATAGAAAGTGTAAAGATCAAAACTGTCAACTTCATCTTACTTGGATCCACAATGAACACTGTTGGTACGAGCAATCTAATCAGGAGATATACTGCACTAGGAAAGTCTACAGTTAGGGATCTTTCCAAATAATTGAGTAATGATGTCAGTTTTGAAGACTAAGGTGCACTTCATTCAGGCTATGGTCTTTCTCATCATTTGCTATGCATCTCAGAGCTGGATGATGCATAAGTATGACAGAAGAATTGATGCCTGTGAGATGTGGTGTTGGACCAGAGTGCTGAACATAGACTGTCAAAAGTATTAACAGGTATGTCTTGGAGACAGTGTAGTCAGAGTGCTCTTTGGCGACAAAGACAATGAGTCTTTGCCTCACATGCTTTGGGCATGTTGCACATGATGCTCGGCAAGGGAGAGGGTTGGAGAAGGGGAGAAAGACCTTCAACCAGGTGGACTGACACGAACTACTGCAATGGGCTCTAGTGTGTCAGGAACTGTGACAATGATACAGGATAGGACAGGGTTCAGATTTCTTGTTCATGGGTCTTACTCAACTCGATGGCCCCTAACAATAACAAGGGATAATGAGCCTGAAGTAGTAATATAATCTTGAGGGGCAAGAAAGGACACATTTCAAGTTAGCTGCTACAATGACAGAATGCGCCTTTAAATTTTTTTAGTTTTGTCTAAAATTCATTAGTATCAATTCATTTCCCCTAAAGATCACTTGTTAAATTCAATGTTTACACACACATATATATGTAAGCAACTAAGCATTAATGGGAAATAATGCCTTTTAACACCATATTTTAAGGGGAAAAAGCTACTTGCCTTTTTCTGCTTCTGGCCGGTGTTATTACTGGAGCTTCCACCATGCCTCCCCACCTGCAATGGATGGTTATGTGTAACTGTTCCAGATTCCTCGTCAAGACCAACAAGCAGACGCCTAGCCCAATAACCTCAAAGCCCACAATTCCTGCTATAATGAATGGGCTGATATACTCCAAGAACGGGCATGGAGTTGGCAGCTGACAACAAGGGGTCACAGTGGTGATGACGTCGAAGCCAGGTCAGAGGAAGCTGGTCACCTCCTATGCACAGACAGCCATTCACAAGAATGGCCAGGCCACTCAGCATCATCTGGCACATGAACTCCAAAAACAAGTAGGGAGGTCTCACCTGCTCGCGGTCACTCTCTGCAGGGCCAGTGCCATCCTGCGCACCTGGAGGCCGGTGATGCTCTGGAGGCAGCAGATCCGCCCCACCAAGGGCTCCTGAGCAGGTGCAGTCCTCAGAAGGCTGAGAATGCTTCTTCACAGGAGGTAAAGGAAAAAAAGAAATTACTCCTGTTCAGAGTTCACCTCTATACTGCCAACTCCTCATGCCTACAGAGTCATGCTGCCTCTGTGTAGACACTAACAGCAGCAACCATGAGCTCAGAGCTACCTCAATTCCACTAGTCATTTTCAAATTAAAGTGTGGTTAAGTCCCATTCTTTAACTTTGGTGTATTTTGTGTATTTTTCATAGTCTCATCTCCATGAGCTGCCTGTCTAGGTGACCCAAGTTACCTATTCAAATAACAGTATACTTAGGACTGTCTGTAAATATATAGCCTTAGAAGCAGGTTGCAAGTCATGTGTTAAAATCAACTCAATGGTAGTAGTTCTGATTTCTGGTCTCCTTTTCCCATAATCCCTTATATACTTATGTTACAATTTTGTAGAGGGAGATGCTTTTCAGAAGCCCACAGAGAGTGTTATAGTAGAAATACCCATATTAACACCCGAGCTAATTTTTAGTTCCCCTCTTTAAGCATGCAATAATTACCATGGTCATTTTCCAACTCCTCCTATTATGTGCTTCAATATCAAAATTCAGTAACTGTGCGAGTTCAGGTATGTTGAAAGTATTTTCAGGTACCTTATGTTTAGTCATGTTTACCTTAAATAAAAATAGAATTTTTTTATAGTTAAGACTTTATGAATTATTAAACTAAAGTCATTAAATAATCCTTTTAACAGCAATAAAATTCTTTGCCTTTCCCAAATTGCCCATGTCCTAAATATTCACAAAATACTTGTAATAGTTAACAGTAGATCTTTTTATTTCATATCACCAGAAAAGTTTTCAGGAAATTTAAGTCCAAAGAGGAGCTCTGATGGCGTAGTGGCAAGAAGCTGCATTTTAATCCTGAAGACATGTGGTTCGAGGCCACCAGCTGCTCAGTGGGAGAAGGATGGGTAATCTTTTCCTGTGTCATTATCTGCCTCTGAAAACCCTCCAGAGTGTCATCTATAGGTGGGTACACAACAAGTCCAAAGACCCAAAACAGTACAATATGTATCTAAACTACTCTGTCAGGTTTTTGTTGCCATGGGCCTTAGAGCCAACTACCCTATGAACAACAGCTCTGAACCTTGTCCAATCCTGTGCCAGCCTCACCGTCACTGACACACATGACCCCACTGCTGCAGTCATTGCGTCACTCATGCCTTAATCAAAGCTTAATACTCTATGTCCTCCCTGCCAAGGTATATGTGGACTATTTCCCTGTGAATGCATGGGGGAATTTCTAGTCTTCCATCCCACAAATATATGGGAATTAAACACCATGCTTCTAAACAGCGAATGGAAATCAAACGGAAAAGAAAATTTTTGGAGATGAATGAAAATGAAGATCCAATACCCCAAAACCATAGAAGATACAGCTAAAGCAGTTCTTAGAGGGCAAGTTCTGTGAATGTACACAGGTGTGTGTCATTTACCATCCACGGTATGCTCCATACAGTAAGGCATTATGCTCCATACAGTAAGGCATTATTTAATCTGGGAATATCACGTTAGCCTGTTTTCAGTTGTCCCTGTCACTGCTGGCATTGCTACTGCTGTTGGCAGAGACTAGTGGAATGGATGTCAGCAGTGGTGGCAGTTGGGGGAGGGGTGGGAGTGGAGTATGCCTAGCTCTGACCACAGAGCAGGAGTGCGACCTGCTTGTCACACAAAGCCTTGAAGTCCACCCCCAGAGCTATGTCTTCTCCACCTATTTGTATTCCACCCATGACCCAGTGCTGCAAGAGTCAGGATCTGTGCCTTTTAAATCACTGTTATGAAATAACTAAGAGCTGCTTTCCCACTTGGGAGAGGGAAACAATAAAAACACCTAAGGGAACACGAGTATAAGCATAGTCAGATGTCCAAGTAGACATTAGTTGACATATACCTGTATTAGGAAAAAACATCTGAAGTTAATAACCTAACTTATTACTTTAAGGCACTACTAAAAAGAGCATACTGTCTATAGCAAGACGTTAAGGCCAATGATAAGGATTGTAGCAAAAATCAATTGTCATTATTACATGCTATGAAGTTGAATATGACTCATAGTGACCCTATGAAAAGATCTGAACCATGCATCTGTAATGCTTGAGCCCACTGTGATAGTCACTGTATCAATTCATGCTCAGAGTCTTCCTCTTGTAGACCCTCTACTTCTCCCAGCATGATGTGTTTTTCAAAAAACTTGCTACTCTTAAAAACATGCCCCAAATATGAGAGATGAAGTTTCTAGTGTGTAGGAAGATTCCCTGATAAACCAAAGGTCATGCCTCTCTTCAGGATTAAATCCACAGGTGGATCTTCAGGAGAAAGGCGAGCAATCTATTCCCATACAATTCAAAGGCTTCAGGAACCTGCTGGAGGTTCACTCATGTCAGATTGCACTCAATTCATTGTGACGTTGGAATTGACTCATGGCTGAACCTCAGTTAATTTTTGGAGGCTGTTAACTGCATCGAAGACTGCTGCTTAGTGTCTCTGAAAACCTGCTGGAGGGTCAGCTATGAATTGGTCTGACTTGATGGTACAGGACACACTAGAAACAAGAATTTCTCCAACCTGGTAAAGAGCATCTATGAAAAAACCAAAGGTAAAATAATACTTAGTTGTCAGAATGGTTGTTTCCCTCTAGGACAAGGAAAAAGACCAGAGTGTCTGCTTTCACAATTACTACATTTAGCATTATGCTTTAAGTTCTACCTATCCTAATAGTGGTAGTTATAACGAGGGGCAGGGGGCGGCATACAGAATGAGAAAGCAGACAAAAAACTATTTTCAGTATATGATTTTGTACATAGAAAATGGGGGAAACTCCAATAGTAACTAGCACACACTGCTATCAAGTCTATTCTGACTCAGTAATTTTCATATTTCAGAAACTTATTGTCTACAGAAGACAGTCCACTTTTCTCCCACAGGGCAGTTTATATATGGGAACACTGGCCTTCTGGTTAACAATGCAGCATGTGTTATATTACATTCAGCAAGATTAGAAGATGTAAGATCGATCCATGCAAAGAAATTCTTTTTCTGAAGACTTGTTACAAAGATCAATCTGAAAATACACATAAACACTCTTTTTAATGGTACTCCAGATGGAGTTGTACCTACAAAACAACTATGAGCTATCATCTCACCCCAGTAGGAATATTAAAATTTAACAGCAGCAAACAACAAACGCTGTTGAGATTGTGGAGAAACTGGAACCCTTATTCACTGTTGGTGGGAGTGTAAAATGCTGCAACCACTATGGAAGGCTGTATGGCACTTTCTCAAAAAGTTGCCAAAAGAAGTACCTTTGACCCAGCAATTCCACTATTCAGAATTTGCCCGAAAGAAACTAGAACTGCCACCCAGGCAGATATATGCACACCCATGTTTATTGCAGCTTTGTTCACAATAGTAAAGAGTTGGAAACAACTTAAGTGCCCATCAACAAATGAATGGATAGAGAAGCTGTGGTATATTCACACAATGGAATACCACGCTGCTTTGAATAACAAGGCACACAGGCAACATTATTCAAAATGGGTGACACTAGAGGACACTATGCTGAGTGAAGTATCTCAGTCAAAAAAGGACAAATACTGCATAGTGCCACTGTTGTAGAATGGGACTGACATCAGGGTTGGGATGAGACAGAAAAATTGGATGTATTATGTACACTGAATTGAAACAGAGGGAAAAGAACTATTTCAAAGCGATATAGGATTGGGTATTATGATTATGACACAAGTCCAGAATTAAGGGGGGGGTGGAAATAGTGGAGTGTACTTGAGGGGCAGGGGATTATATGGCAATGAAAGAATTTTTCTTTTACTTTTCAAACTGGCGGGGAGGGGTGGGCAGGGAGACAAGTGCAACAATGAATGAATGGAAATCCAAAATCTCTGTAAATGTTCATTAAAGCTAATAAAAAAAAAAAGAGTACCTAGAAATATACAAAGGAAGTACAGAACTTGGACTCTAACCTACAAAATATTCAAAGAAATTAATAAAATATAATTGGGAGGAATGTCCGTTGCTCATGAACAAGACTTAACATGGTTAAGGGAGCAAGGTTTCCCCAAATAATCTACAGATTCAGTCTGTTCGACATTAGAATTTGAATTGACTTTTAGAGACTGAAACCAATTCTAAAATGCACATGTTTTTTTCAAGGGACCTGGAGTCACCAAAATAACCTTGAAAAGTAGAATAAAGCAACAAGACTAACATTTCCAACTTAAAAATTTACAGCCAAGCAACAGTAATCGAGACAGTATAGCACTAGTACAAAGATGGACACATAGATCAGTAGAAGATACTGAGAGTACACAAAGCCATTTATCTATGGTCATTTTTTCATAAGGACTGACATGATCATAGAAGGTAGAAAGAATAATCTTGGCACATCAGGGGTGTAATACCCAAAAGAACAATTGTGGGTCTTTATCCCATATTCCATTTGCAAAAAATTCCTCCAAATGAGTAAGAGACCTAGTTTAACAAAACCATAAAACTTTTGGAAAAAAATGTTAAGTGCTATTGAGTCGTAGACAACTCATAGTGACCCTAAGAAAGACAGACCTGAATGAACACGAATAACTTGTTTCTCCAAGTTCTTAAGAATTCCCAGAGGCAAGCTATTTCTGAGTGGAAGCCACTCCTGCTTCCAAGCCTGTTTTAATTGGGGTGCTCCACCAAACACCATCAGTAACCATTATTGCATTTGACACATCTACGGAGGCAAATTTGATGATAGGTTTGGAAGAGGATTTCTAAATATGCAATTGTTAAATGCTCTGGAATCAAGTATGACTCAGAGACCCTACGAACAAAAGATCTGAATGAACCCTGTTCTACAATTATTTCTCTAATCTTCATATTTTCCAAAGGCAAGTTTAGGAAATAGATGCCAATTCTGCTTCCAAGCTTGTCTTAATCTGGGAGCTGTACCAAATCCTGTCCACCATAAATAACCGTTATTGCATTTGACACTAATGGCACAGCATTCAGTATTACAGTAATTCCGAGTTATCCCAGTACAACAAATCGACAGGCCAGTGCTGTACCGCTTAGAAGAATGTTTTTCCAAAACAAAATTTAAAAAGAGGGTAAGACTAGCAACAAGACACATCAAGATGAAATTTTCTAAGGCAGCTGCAACCCATATCCCATCTCATCCAAATAGTGAGGTCAAACACTGTTTTATGAAGTGCTGCTTCAAATTCTCAAGGCAGTGCATAAATTTGAAATGTTTCATAGTGCAAGAGTCAAGCCATTTAAAACTTTATTATCAAATGAATTTAATTATTTCTATATGAACACTTACCATGTACAGCTTTTTCAACATTTTGAGGAGTGTTTTAATAGACTTGTGATCTTCACCAGTTTCAGAACAAATAGTGATGATACCCTTTTGAAATATTTTGATCAGTTTTTCAAAAGTGGATTTTTCCAATGATGCCCAAAATGACTCTGAGGGATACAAAGAAGGTTAAGAATATTATCATTGTCCAAGGCACTGAACAATTCATTGCTGTCCAGTCAGAAGAATCTCACAACTGACCAGAGTATTTTCAGAAACTAAGTAACAGGAAAGGAGATTGCCCATCTTTCTCCCATGGAACCACTCGTGAACTCAAATGACCAGCGGTGACCACCTCTGGGTTATTCTCTATAGACTACCACCAGAGCTTAGAGTTACTGTTGGGGAATAGACAGTAACAGAATGTAGCTTCTCTTGAATTATCTTACATTTTATTGTGACTTGGGTTAAAGGTAATTTTCCATTCAACAATTTGCATATTGATTTGGGCTACTGTCTAACACTTATATTCCTGGGTGCAGCCCCATTTGCCCTCTTCCTGTTCAGCTTGCATGTTTATATATGTAACCATGGGTAGGTTATTACATGATTGTGTATGCAATAGTATTTACTTTTGTTGCCTTGAATTCCAGTGCTCTTTCCCATTCATTTCCTTTGCCTAGATCATTTCACTTAGTTAATATAGATCTACAATTGTGAGTGATTTACCTTCCTTTTATTCCCAACCCCAGTAAATACTAAACTTAGTTTCTTTCTGTGAGTAAATAATAAGGTGTGCCTAATTCAGGCCATGGTCTGTGCAATTATGTTATTCATTAGAAAGATGGACAATGCTTAGCTATGATGAAATAATCAATGCCTTTGAGTTGTGGTGCTGGAGAAGAGTACTGAACATATCAGGGACTGCCAAGAGAATAAGCATGTCTGTCCCAGAAGAGGGTGAAACCAGGCTGCTCCTTGAAGGCAAGGATTTTTTGGTCATTGTTGCATTTTCTTGACCCTCCCCCCTCAGGCAGCCCACACCTCAATGTTTCAGAACATGGTCATACAGAGCTCTGGTGGCATAGTGACCAGACGCTGCACTGCAATCCCAGAGGCATGTGGTTCAAATCCACCAGAAGCTCTGCTAAAGGGACAATATCCTCCTGTAACTGTCAGATACAATTTGATGGTACACAAGCATAAAATAAAAAAAAAATAATATTGCCATATATAATACCTAATTGTATATTGCTTTAAGATGTTCTTCCATCTCACATAGTTTGGGCATGTGGCCAGGAGGGACCAATCCTTGGAAAAGGACAATTTGCTTGGTAGAGTAGAGGGATAGTGCAGGAGAGGAAAAGCCCTGGATTAAATTCACTGACAATAATTGATTGTGGTAATGGAGATAGGTGTGTTGGAGACAGTGAGACTGGCTAAGGGTAGGGTATGATTCAGAGCTATTACACGAGTTATATTACGAGTTGCAGGTTACTTAGTGATACATAACAAATTCTTAGTCCTGTTTTACTTAAAGTACATCCCAATTATTAAATCACATTTTAAATTATTTCTTAAGAGATCAAATATAATTTAGGTGAAATGCTTGGAGTATTGTCATTGTTCTAGGAAAAAATCCTTACACTGTTGTTTCATCAAGTCTCCTGCAACTCATAGGAACCCTATGAACAACAGCCCTAAACCCTAATCTATCCTGTGCAAATGTCCCTGACACACCTACCCCCATTATCCAAGTCACTGAATCAATCCATCTCATCGAGGGTCTTCCTCTCTTGTGCTGTCCCACCTTCCTAATCATGAATTCCAAGGACTTGAAGGACTGATCCTGCCTTGCAACATGCCCAAAGTATGTCAGACGAAGCTTCAGAATCCTTGCCTCCTAGGAGCAGCCTGGATTAACCCTCTCCAGGACAAACCTGTTTGTTCTCTTAGCAGTCCACAGTATAGTCAATACTCTTGTTCAGCACCACAGCTCAAAGGTATCAATTCTCTCCTGTCATCCCTAGTCCTTGTCTAGCTCTCTGACACAGCAAATGACTGCAAAGACCATGGCCTGTATCAATACAGGTCAACCTTAGTCTCTAGAGTGACATCATTGCTCTTCAGTACTGTAGAGAGGTCTCTAATAGCAGACTTTCCCATTGTAATCCTCTTAATTTCCTGGCTGCTGGTGCCAAGAGTGTTGCTTGTTCAAAGCTTTAGTTTGCTTGGCTCCATAATCTCAATCTCTTTATCATATATTAAGATGCTGCCTATCGGGCCAGTGTTAAGAATTTTTGTTTTCTTGATATTGACCTTCAAATTCATAGTGAAGGCTAGAGTCCTTGACCTGCACGAAGAGCTTCAGGTCCTGGATAATCGGGATAGGAGTGTCAGAGACAGTGCGATTGGCACAGGACAGAGCAGAGTTTAGGGCTGTTGTACATAGGGTCGCTATGAGTCGCACATATCAACATCTGTTCTTTTGGCAGTCCATTCAATATTCTTCTCACACTCTACAACTCTAAGTTATCAATGATTCTTCTGTCATCCTTGTTGTCCAGTTCTCAGATGCATAGTAAGTACAAAGACAATGGTCTGCATCAGACGCACCTTAGTCTTTAAAGTGACATCTTGCTCTATAGCACTTTGTAAGAGTTCCCTGACTGTAAACTTTCTCAATGCAATATGTCTTGATTTCTTGACTGCTGATATGAAGAGTCTAGACTGTGGTTCGAAGCAAGATGAAATCATCGACAATTTCAATCTTTTCTCCATTTACCATGATGTTGCTTATCAGTACAGTGGTGAGGATATGTGTCTTGATATTGCAATGTAGTCCATAATGAAGGCTATATTCTTTAAGATTCTGTAGCAAGTACTTCAAGTTCTCATTTTTCAGCAAGCAAGGTTGTGTCATTTGTGTAACACAAGTTGTAAAGTTTTTCTCTAATCCTTATGCCACATTTTTCCTAGAATCCAGCTTCTTAAATTATTTCTTCAGGGTATGTATTGAATAGGTATGGAGAAAAGATACAGCCATGACACACTTTTTCAATTTTAAACCATCAAGTCTTCCCTTGCTCTGTATAACAGCTTTGAATAAAGGTTTTGTATGAGCATAATAATGTGTGCTGGTATTTCTGTTCTTTTCAATGTTAGCCATAGTTATGATCTGCAATCAAATGCCTTAGCATAATCAAAATACAGACATTCTTCTAGCATATTCTGCTTTCACTAGGATCCATTTGATATTAGCAATGATATCCCTGGTCCATGACTGGCTGCATACTGTATTAATAGATTAAAGATTGTTCCTGATTGCACACTGTATGTGTGCTCCAAGCTTGAATCCTTAACTCTCAAAAATCACGTTTGAACTCTTAAACACCAGTATCAAAATGAAAGACTTTAAAATGGCTTTTTATCACTTAAAATGCTTTTTACAACTAATAATAAGACAAAGTTTCCTTGCACTAAGTATGTATGTTAAAAATCCTTCAACATCTCATTTAACTTTTAGGATTTAACTTGCAGTGAACTGCAAGTATGTAGGAATAGAAGAAACACAAATCTGGGACACAATATAAGGGATCTATAGTTTTGCGGATTTTTAGGGTATTTTTATGAAAAAAGCTCTAAGAAACATTATCAGAATAATGACCTAGATATCAGACATTAAGGCATTAGGAAACTCCTACAGTGTAGTCTGTAGGGAGCTTTGCTGCTAACTCAAGAGTTGCATCTTTCAGGAGGTTCAAATCTACCTGTAGCTTTGGGGTGGGGGGTGGGAAGATGGAAAAATCATCTGTGTGATTTGCAGCATCTGAAAAACCTGCTCAAGGGTCACTTATAAGTCAGTTCTGACCCGATGGCAATGAGTAGGGGCTCTGAGTTTGATTAAGGAATTGTTTGGGGTTTGGGTACAGTAATGATTTCATAGGAAGTTAAAGCTTTGAATCCTTAGGGGATACAGACTGAAGGTCTGCAAATACTTTAAAAAAATTTTCAGGCCAAGATTTTGAGGGTTCATCTTACATGTTTTTGGCATGTTGCAAGGAGGAGGACGACAAGTATAGCAATAGGTATGGAGAAAAGATACAGCATGTCCTTTCTCCAAGTCCCTAAAAGGGTGGAGGGACAGTGCAACAGAAGACGACTCCAGGCGAGATGGACTCACACTAGCCAGGGTAATGAGGGTTGGTGTGTCAGAGACAGTGACATTGGCTCAGGATAGGGAAGGAGTGAGAGCTATCATGCATAGGGTCGATGAGTAAACGTACATAAAGGAGGTAAAAAAACATGCCAGCATGTAACTACTAGAAGGTATATAGGTAATCATTCGATTCTTTGAAGTCCTCTGTTTGAAAATTACTGAAAGAATCTATTTTGGGTGATCAAAGAATTATCGTAGTGCCTTTAAACTAAGTATATGAACATATGAATACATTTATAATTTTTGAAGTAGGTTTTGCTGTAACTTTTACTACAAGGAAGATTTGTCTTGCCAAAATATTTTTCAAATTTTAATAAAGCTTACCCAGAATTTCTGAAGATTTCTTGCTGATTGTATTAACAGCCTTTGCATATAGTATCCCCAGACTGTCCCAAGTGTGAGAATCCTGAGTCACAAGATATTCTGGGAGCAGGAGGAAAATTTCTAAAGCTTCTCCGTGTGGAGTACTCAAAGGTAGGTTTGTGAACAGATTTTCCTTGACATGGGTGGCAATCTGTGGGGGGGGGGGGGGAAATGGAGTGCAGAGTGTTGGAGGGGAAGCACATAAAATACAACAAGTTTTCACTGAGTGAATTCACTACAATGAAACAAGTGTAGAGTTTAGTGTTTCATCCCACCATGAAACTGGAATGATGTCTCCTGAACTGTAAGCTTAAACTATCAATCTATTTTCCAAATGCCTTATAAAGTTTCTTAACTAGTACTGCTGCAGTAGAGATACCACAAGTAGAAATTGAGTTTGTCATAATTTAGGAAGCTAAAAATTAAAATTTAGGGTGTTAGCTCTAAGGTGTATATAGATGAGGAATGACAGATTAGTTCACTAGTTCACAGATGAGGAATTGGCACCTTAGAGAAATTAAGCAACTTGTTTAAAGTAACATAACTACATAAGGATCTCTGGCCCGACTCTAAAATTCACTCAAAATTATAATGGGATAGTGGCTAAATAATAGCTCAAGTGTAAAATGCTTATTATCTTTTTTTCCTTTCAAGATGTTAAATTGAGTTCCTACTTTGAGCCTTGTATATACACTTAGAGTTCTAAACAGGATGCTTATTTGAACACATCATGATGACATTCAGATCCCTTTGTCCATTATTAGCCTTACTTGCAAACCTCCCACAACTGTCCTAAACCCTTTTGTTTCAGAACTGTACTCTGGCACATGATTTACCACTTACATGGTATTCCCCATGAAGGCATTTAGTGATCTAGTTTCTGAGTGCTCCAAGTAAACCTGATAGGCACTTCCTCACTCTTGATTCAATTCATTCAACCAAAAATTTATATTCAACACTGAATAAGGGCAGTCTGGTGGCACAGTCTGTAAGGAGTTGCTCTACTAACCCAATGGCTGGACATCTGTGGGTCAAAGCTGACCAGGAACTGTCAGAGAGGTAAGCAATCGCTTCCTGTTGGATTTAGTTTCGGAAACCCACTGGCAGGTCTCCTAGGAGTTGGTTCCAACTCAATGGTAAGGAATTTTTTGAGTTGAAATCTAGGGTCTAAATTAGGCACTGATGAATATAGAGGGAAGCACCAGTGGCATCCACTTCCTGAACATGTCTCTGGAAACTATGGACTTAGCAGTAGCTATAGAACAAAGTTCAGTTTTTTTGTTCGTACAGTCACTATGAGTTGTGGTTGACTCGACAGCACTTAATTTCACATTTAGACCTTTACTTACATTTCTATCTAATGTGCTCTAAACCATGAGCTTCTAAAATATAGGGCATGCCTCCCTTATTGTTAATTCTATGTTCACTATGGTGCCCTAAGTATAAAAACCTTTCCTGAACAAATTCATGAAGGTCAAGTCTCAATTCAAGTATCAGAATCTCAAGATAGGATTGCAAGAAACGGGAAAGTTCTATCTTCCCTTAAACTAACCAAAGATTGTCATATCATTATGTCACTTGTACATTTCTAATTTTTCTGGTACGACTGAAGCAAATTTATTATCAGTAAAGGGTCATGGAGATGAAACCCAATCTGTTCACTGATGCAGAAATGCTTTACAATTTTTGGTGATCCTTCCACGGCTGTACCTTGGAGGTACATGGAAGTTCTGGTGGCCTAGTGGTTAAGGAGTTTTACTGTCAACCTAAAGAGAGGTGGTTTGAAACCACCAGCTGTTCCTCAGGACAAAGAGACAATCTCCTTTATGATTTCCTGCATCAAAAAACCCACTGGAGTGTCAGCTGTGTAAGCCTGACTTGAAGGTATGTAAGAGAAACAACCCTTAATGATTCAGAGTCTTACTGAAAGTTATTAGTGGACCAGGTAGGAAGATTTTTAGTAATCAATGGAAAATGAGCAAGAGCAAAGGTTGACAATATATTCAACAGGATAGTACTTGCGTTATGTTATCAGGAGCACTAAATGGTGCAGAGTTCTGGCAAAAGTATCCATATAAAGGTTTCATGACATCGAGTCATTAGGAATCTATTTTTTACCTCAGGTCCCCAGTGAGCTGTAATTCTGCCTACCTTGGAAGAATTGAACTTTGTACCTTTCTCCTTCAGAGAAAGGCCTGGGTGAAATAGATTGCCTGAAACTAATAGAGAATGTAGATTATGGTAGACAGAGCACAGAAATAGCTGCAGGGGCTATGAGAAAGAATTGGAAAAGAGGGAGACGAGTAAGGAAAAAGCCTGGGCAAGAAAGAATGGGAAGACGAGAAACAGAAGTAATGCTGAAAAATAGGCAACGTAATCAGCGAGAAAACACTTGAGTGAGAAAAGAAAGTACCTGAGACTCACAGAGTACTAGAACACTAAAAAAAGGCATACTCAAGGGATAGCAACCTAAAATAGAGAAATCAAAACAGGTTATAGGTGGCCTAGGGGCAAGAAGCTGCGCTGCAATCCCAAAGGCACAAGGTTCAAGACCACCAGCCAAGAATGGGAAATCTCCTCCCATGTGGTTAAGTGCCTCTGAAAACCCACTGAAGGGTCAGCTATGGGTCTGCTCCAACTCTATGGTACACAACAAAGTAATAAAGCAAGCCATCTACAGCTATAGAAACCAAGTAACAGAACTGAAACAGAGCCAAAAATATAAGTATCTTAGAACTTACAAAAAAAAAAAAAAAACAAAAAACCAAAAAACAAGTACAATGAAAGAATTCAGCAAGTTCCTCTGCAAGGGGCAGGTTCATGTTAGAAAAAGCATCTTTAGAGCTGTAAAATAATTGCTGTAAGACTGTTCTTGTTCTAGTGTGCCAGTTTCAAACCTTTTCCACAGTTTCCTAAAGATTTGAATTTAAGAGATGCTTTTTGTTGTGATTTCCTATAGTTGGAACCAACTCCCAGCTGAACTTACAGCATCTCTAGAGTATGCATGTGTATGTCTACAAATGAACCATTGAAACTATTTGTAATCTGTAAGAGGGAGTTCTCGGGGTATACTCCCTAGGGAGTAATGCTTACATAAGTGATGCCTTCTCTGGTGGTTCATCTCTCTCAGTGGCTCCACAAGGACTATCTCCTACCAGGTGAAGAGCCTTAAAAAAACCCTCTGAAGGCTCATCTATGACTCACTGACAAAGAGTTTTATAACCTATATGAACATAAAGCTCTGTGGGCCATCTTCTGAATACTGAGTTTCATGTGGAATGTGTAAGCTATAGGACCTTGAAACACTCTTAAGACAACTTTTTAGGTATCGTCTAGTGCATTTTCCTCTCCAAAACAACAACATTACCGTGCTATTAATGGAGTCCTTCTGTGTTAATGTCTTAAAAATGTCTCTTGCTTTATTTACATCTGAATTAAAGGACTTCTTTCCTGTACCAATTCTGTAAAAACAAAAGAAATAAGTAGATAGTTAAAGGGGAGGGAGAAAGCTAACATTTTACATTAAGTGCATTTTTTAATTACCTAAATGCACACTTCTCAATCTTGCTTTATTTCAATAGCATTACCTTTTCTTAGCTTTACTAGAACTGTAATAATTTGGCCAACTACAAATCCAGCTGACAACACATTGCCGTTTGGTGCTATCAAGTCAGTTTTAACACGCTGTCACCCTATGTACAACCTAATGAAACTGATCCTAAATCATCCTGTTGATCTGTGCTGTAGCCCACTGACGCAGTCGCCATGTAAATCCATCTCCTTGATGTCTTTCGCTTTTGTGCTGACCTACTTTTCCAGGTAGAGGCCTCTCCGGAGATGAACTGTTAACCATCCTTTGTTTTAAGAAGTTTTCAGACTTCATTTCCTCAAAAGCAGACTTGTTTAGTCTCTTGGCAATCCATACAATATTACAGTATTAATTACTTTTCATCAATGCCTCAATCTTCTGTCCCTTCTCTCTGTTCACTGTCCAACTTTCACATGCTTTATGAAACAAATGAAAATCCTATGGCTTGGGTCAGGCAAACTTGACTGTCACATTTCCACAGGTGTTGATTATGAATCCAAGTAAAATGAAATCTTTGACAACTTCCATCTTTTCTCAAGCTGTCATGAGACTGATTAGTAGCTGTTAATGCGTCTTCCTCTAAAGCTGGTGCCACTTTTCATAGTGTCTATCTGAATTGGTGTGGTGAAAGGAGATAACCTTTAAGCATACATTTCCAGATTAAACCATGAAGAATTTCCTTACTTTGATCTATTGGATCTTGGTATTTGAACAGTTCCATAGAAGCACAATTAAGTGCTCTGAATTCTCATTCCTTCTAAAGTTATCTCGAATTTTATGATCCACACAGTTGACTGCCTTTGCATAATCAATAAAACAAGTAAACATCTTTCTGGTATTGTTTTCAGTCAAGATATGTATATTGTTGTGGACCATCAAGCAGAAAATGACCCGTAGCTGGCCCTCCAGTGTTTTTAGAAGTAGCAATCATAAGGAATGAGAATATCCATCCTTCTCCCATGGTGCTGCTGGTGGATTTGAACCATGTACTTTTGGGCTGGCATCACAATTCCTTACAACTAACCCACTAGAGTTCTCAAAGATAGACAGATGGATATCTTTGTCATTTTAAAAATCATTGTTTTAGTTGATACCATTGGTTTAACTACAGCTTATAGCTACCCTATGAACAAAGGATCTGAATCCTGCTGTCTCTGGAGCATTCTTTACCATCTGATATATCTTAGCCAATTTTAAACATGATTATGTAAACCCCCTCTTTGAGGGTCTTCCCTTTTGTTGATCCTCCACTTTTACAAGGATGACATTCTTTTCCAATGACTGCCCCTTCCTAACATACCCATATGTGAGATGTAGCTTCACCATCGTTGCCTTCAAGAAACAACCTGGTCGCATCTGTTCTTTTGACAGTCCACAGGGTATTTGGTACTCTAGTCCAACACCACAACTCTTCATCTTGGCATCAATTCTTCTCTTGTCATCTGTATTGTTGTCCAGCTCTCAGATGTGTATCAAGTAAATAACAAGACCATAATCTGGATCAGGTGCACCTTAGTTTTCAAGCGAATATCACTGCTCTTCAGTATTTTGGAGAGGTCCCTGATGGCAGTCTTACCTAAAGAAGTAAGTCTTTTCTTGTATCTGACTTATCAATGCTGTTGATTGTGAGTCCAAGGAAGGTAAACTCACTGACACCTTCAATCCTTTCTCCATCTATCATGATGTTGCTATTGGCCCAGTAGTTAGGATCTTTGTCTTCTTTCTCACTTGTAGCAAGCAAGGTCGTCCTCATCTGCATATGATGGACTATTATTTTTGGTACTGTCAAATTGGATTTGCCTGGCATAGGAGGAGATTGCCCCTCCTCCAGCACAGCATCTGGCTGATTTGAACTCCATGCCTTCGGGGACTGCAGAGCAGCTTCTTGCCACTAGGCCGCCAGATGTATAAGGTAGATTTTGATACCAAATTCTTCTGCAGAGTCCAGCTTCATCTATTACTTGCTCAGCATACAGACTGAATGGTATAGAAAAAAGATACAACTGTGATACACACACTTGGATTTAAACCATTTTTTTCTTCATTTGGACAAGTTTTTTTCATCTAGGTATAGATTTTGAATGAACACAAATATTCTTGGATTCTCATTCTTCTTACTGTGAACCATCTCAGAGTCTCCAAACTGATCTAAATGAAATACAATTATGATGGAAATAAAACAAATAAAAACTTTAAGGGTCAGCTATGGGTGGGTTTCAACATATCTATGAAATATATATATACACGTACATAATGAACATATATATTTGGTAAATTGAATATGCATATAAAATTAGTTCCTTAGGTATTGCTTTTGTAAAATGGATAATCAAGTATTTGTTACATACTATGAATTTGCCACAGGGAAAAAAGTGAATGTTTCTCATTTTGAGGAAAAATTGTAAATGGAATTGAAAAAGTGTAAAAGAGATTTCAAGAGTCACAAGCTAGATTATAATAGTCTCCCAATAGAAAGTATTATCACAATGTATAAATCTCTTAACCTGTGATGTTTATGTTGAATTGAATAAATAAAAACAGAGGTATTTTTAAGAGCTCCGGTTGCCTTGTCTGTAGTGTTCTTACTGCAAGCCAAAAACTTTTTTAGAGCATGCATTCATTTCATGACTAAAAGGAAAAAAAATGAAAGCAAATAATTATTTAAAAGTTTAGGAAAAAGTAAAAATTCTTCTATAGGACTTCTGTATTTCCATCAAATTGAAATAAGCTATCTAGCATCAAGGAAATCGTTAAATAAGGTATCTCATTCAATGGAGCACCACACAGCTTTGAGAATACAAGTAAAATTGCAATTTTTTTTTACCCTTCAAAATTACCTTGAACCGAACATACTATCTAAAAGAACATTTTTTTAAATAAAATATTTTGTCTTTAATAATATTTAGGAAGGTTTTATTTTTTGGGAATATGTATATTACCTTTCCTTTAAAAAACTTCCAGTAACACAAGCAGCAGATGAAAATATATCTCTGATTTCCCTGCATTAAAAAAAATAAAAAATAAAATAAAATATTTACATCTAGACACAAAAAGCCTCATACCATGTTCTATGACAAATAAAACATCCCATAATCATCCAAACTTCTGTCTCGTGTTTCCATTGTACCATGGCAAGTAAAAAAAAAAATCTAGTTTCTGCAAAATTAATAAAATTCAGAAGCAACATGGGAAAGAAAATTATATACTCAAAGCTTTATTTACCTGGGGTCATGGTTGTGGGCAAATTAAATATTGGCACCTACTGCACTCTCCAGCCCCTATTTAATTCTCTTTAGTAGCACTGAAGTAGCAACACCACCACCACACACAAAAAAAGCCTCGAAATTAAGCAAGAGGTTATATTTAATTTCCTCTTAGTAAATTCCATAGATAATTCTTCATCATTTATGTTCTGTCAATGATAATAACTTCCACAATCAGAAAGCTATTCTACAGATTTGAGAAGGGTTGGTCCAACTATTTAACTGCATGGGAGATGCAGAAACAAGTGGTTCCATGATCAAATAGCGTTGGAAACACTGCAGACTGGTTTCTGCTTTGAAAGTCACAATTACATAAACTTATTAAAGATCTAGAGGGGTATTATAGTAAAGAAAGCTGTCTTCATGGAGTTATGATAGTGGAACACAGATCCTCGTATGCCTGTATTTTGTAGACGTCAGTCTGAGAAACACTTTGTTATAGGGACACACCGACAGACACACAGTTAAACCTTTTTGTACTCTGCCATTGTTTGGTTCCCACATCTTCATTCCATCTCTTTGCAGTGTTTTCATTCAATGTAGGAATTTTCCTTCTCAGATTAACATAAGAATTCTGTAAACAAAAAAATGATGCCAACACAACATAGTCTGGTTCTAAGAATACAGGGTAACATTACTTTTGAGGATGGATAGCCTAACTCTGGGACTTTTCACAAAATGAAATTCTACCAAGGAATAATCATTTATTTGCATGAATGACATAATGAATAAGGATGATAGGAGGAAAAATTGATGCCTTTGAGTTGTGTTGGAGGAGAGCACCGAGTATCCCATGCACTTTCAAAAGAATTAACAGGTATACCTTGACAAAGTGCAGCCAGAATGCTGCTTGGAGGCAAGAATGGCAAAGCTTGACCTGTGATACTATAGGCATGTTGCTAAGGGAGGCTATTCCTTACAAAGGGACATCATGCTTGGAAAGGTGGAGGGTCAGTGAAAGAGAGGACCCTCAAAGAGACAGACTGACAATGATCAGAATCAATAGGCTCCAGTGTATCAGATCTGATGAAGATGGCACAGGATAGGACAAGGTTCAGATCTCTTGTTCATAGGACCACTATGAGTCATACTCAGCTTGATGGTACCAATCACCAACATTTCTTGTCCAAGAGGGATTTCTTAGCCTGCAAATAAATGTCTTTGAAGGGGCTAACACTGTTTTAGTTCAGGTAAAATTGAACTCAACACTGGACATTCCTGACAGAAAGCTCCTTAAAGGGTTGTGTACAGAAGGGACTCATCTTGCTCTGGTGACTTAAATAGCATAGGAAGAGTATGCACTGGTTAAACTTAAGCTGGTTCAATTGGTCTTTTTTACTACTAGCTGGCAAAATAATTTTACAATCTGTCCACCTGTTGACTCACAAGTACAATGACTAAATGCCATCAGAAGGAATATCCACCCCCTTGACTTTCTTTGCACCTCTAACAAGGAAAACAAAATTAAGTGTTATGTGCCATCAAGTCACCTGCAACTCAGAGCAACCCTATATACAACAGCTCTGAATCCTCCTCTATCATGAGCCAACCTTATTGTCTCAGACACCACCCCACGTTACCCCAGTCACTGAATCAATTAATTTCATGGTCTTCCTCTCCTGTACTATCTCTCCACCTTTCCAAGAATGCTCTATGGGATTTCAGGGCTATGAGCTTTTGGAAATCGCCAAGAATGATGTCCCTCTCTAATGACTGGTCCCTCCTTGCAACATGTCCAAAGAATGTCAGATGGAGCTTCAGAATCTGTGCCTCCCAAGGAGCAGCTTGGTCTCACCCTCTCCAGGACCAACCTGCTTGTTCTCTTAGCCGTCCATGGTATATTTAATACTCTTTTCCAGCATTACAGCTCAAAGACATCAATTTTCCTATCATTCCTAGTAGTGTAGTCAAAGTAAAGCAATAATTCAATATCCAATAGGGACAATTGGGCTGATTTTTGTAAACAAATAATGTAAGAATGAAGACTGTCTACCTAGGCTAAAGACTGAATTCATAGCTTAATGCTTTTGGAATTCATCAAGTCTGGGTTGTGAAACCTTTTAAGATATTGAGCTGCAGAACATGTTATTGTTCATTTACATTTAGTCAAGTGTGACCAACAGTGGCAACACTTATACAAAGAACTGCTCTATGGGATTTCAGGGCTATGAGCTTTTGAAAATCGCCAAGCCTGTGTCCTGAAGTGTCTCTGGGTTATTTCAAAATATTCTTTCAGCTAGTAATAAAGAATTTCAGTATCTGAACAACCATTTGGTAATAGATCATCATGTTCTTTTTGTATACCATTGACTTGAGTTTAACCCACAGGTGAACCTATGGGGTTTTCAGAGGCAGTTTATTTCACCAAAAAAATGGTCATCTTCCTTGGAGCAGCTGATGGATTCAAACCACATACCCTTCCCTTGGTACTAAGCTATCAGAGCTCTTATAGAGCATCTAGAGTGCACTTTTTACCTCTTTTTTAATCCAGAGCAAAATACTTTGATTTCCTCCAGCAATCATTATTAACTCCTTTTCTGAGGTGCAGTGTTCTGGAAGGGATATATAAAGAGTTTAGAAAGCTATTAACTACGCTAATTTAATGAGTTTCAGATTTTTCTTCAACTTAAAGGTTTTTTCTTTAACACAAATATCCTGCAATTTCCCAGGAATTAAGAAGCAGAAATAAGTATATTTCAGACAAAAAAAAAAAAAAAATCAAGCTGGCAAATAACTTACAAGGTAGACGTGATAGCAGCTAAGTTAACAATTAATATGAGTGCTTATACAGAAGCAAATATCTGATTAGTTGATGGTTTTCCTAGTTAAACTCAGCCCCTATTACAGAAAAGTTATGTTGTATAACTTAAAATTTAAGCTTAATGTTGTCATAACTAGAAATCCTTTAATTTCATGGAAATAGCATAAGAAATCTAGGATACAGTTCAAATCTACCAGATGCTTTGCTGGAGAAGGAGGGGCAATCTCCTGTACCAGACAGATCCATTTTGATGGCACACAAACACACAAAACATAAATTTTTTTTTTAAAAGTCCAGGATAAGATACCACAAGTTAGAAATTACTACTGATTATAGAAAGTTAAGAGAATTTTAAAATTTCACGTCATCATTAACCTTTCAGAAATACATAGCAAAGGTTCAGAGTACTTAAGGAAGTAATATAGTATGTAGGACAAATTCAACCTTGATAAATGGAAATCCACTCCAACACTTACTAGCTCCAAAACCATACCTAATTACCTTTGCTCTCCAATCCTTTATATTCTCTAGTAAAATGACAATAGTAGTATCTCTCAGAATTGTTTTAAGGATTAACTAATGGACATAAGTACTAAGCATTATTATGCAGCTTGGGGTATTTCAACTGCTGATCATAAGCTTTCACATACTTAGAGATCAATTTAATGAGGTACGTTAATGATACCATAAAATTAATCTCTTACATAACTGTAGAACATTATTGGAATGTGAGTCCTTCAGATTGGAATGCATTCTAAAAACGACCAGGAAAGGGCTGTCTCCTCAGAGCTGATCTTAATCATGTGGACGAAGTAATACTTTCAAGATCTTCATCTGCGGATGTGTCATGCCTCAAAATGAGAATGGCTATTTGCAAACAATGGGAGCATGCAATGTATGAAGGAAAAGTGGACATTATAAAAATCAAATAGACTGATATTTTAAGGAGCTGAAGTGGATTGCTATTGACCATTTTGAACTGGACAATAGTATTTGGGTATATTGCTAGGAAGAGTTTCCTTGGAGAAGGAATGATGCTTGGAAAGGGGATTGGGGAAGGAGATGAAGACCCTTAACTGGATGGATTGATATGGTGATTACTGCAATGGGGTCTTTCTTGTGTGTCAGGAAGTGTGAGGATGGCAGAGGATAGAACAGGGTTCAGATCTTTTGTTCATAGGGTCACTATGGTCATACTCAACAGTAACTAACAACAACTATACCAGAAATGACAAAACGAAGTCCCATTCATTGTAAAAACAGTTTGAAGATCTTTTCTCACATACAACTATGTCAGTGATAATATTCAGTCAACAAGAACTAGAACTTCAATTAGTATTCAGATTTACACAATGACTAGGGTCCAAGACAACAACACTGATTTTTTTGGTCAGTTTCTGCAGTCTGAAATTGAGCAGACATAATGAAGGCATAGTAACAATTATTTGTGACTGGAATATGGACTTTGGAAACAAGGATCAGCAGTTGGAAAATATGGCCTTGACAAGCCAGAAATCATTTTAAAGACTTTTGCAAGATCAATCACCCACTTAATTTTAAATTTTTTTTTAATCACCAAGGATTTCTGTATCAGTCTACATTGTTTTGTTGAGAAGAGTCTGAATCAAAATTTTGCTCAAAATCTTATTAATGGGCAAAATTATTCTCAAACTTTCTGTAGTCTTGCTGATTATCCTAAAGCCTAGAAAACAGTACTAAAGTTCTGAGAAGGCTATTAAGCACTTTAACACTAAAAATTACATGACTTACAAGCCAAGTATGCATTTTCTTGAAATTCCAAAGCCTACTGTCATCAAATCCATTTCAACTCATAGCTGCCTTCTGTCAGATTGAGTCTCAAATCCTCTAAGTTCACAGGAAGACACTGCCCATCTTCACATCTTTGTTCTTCATAAAGAATATCCTCAACATTTGGTCTAGGCATTCCCATTGAAATGGAGTGGGAGCCACTCTACAAATAAGTTTAATTTTTTTCCCCCAGGGATCCAAATATTTAGGTTAAAATATTTTATTTACTCTAGATTTGTCTCAGTTGCCCATTTTACTTGGAACTGAGAATGTTCTTTAAAAGCTCTCATTTTTGAGATTTTAATGGATGTTTATAGAAAAATTAAGATTTCCGTTCATTATTGCACAATAAAATACAATTTCAATATAGACATCAAAGATGTATGTGGACCTCACTGGATAAATGGTTGTATGTGTAGAAAGATGTGTCAGAGAAGCTCAATGTAATTGATCAGAAAAAGGTTGGGGACAAACTTGGGAAGACATCAGTTGCTCATAAATCAAAAAGAACAAATCCCCTAGAGTGGAAGCTTGAGTGTGTCTCTGTATTTAGAGATGATCTCAAGAACAGACTTGCCACATTGAGCACTAATGGCCAAACATCAGATGAGTTGTAGGATAGCATGAAAGACTTCATAGACGAAGTTGTTAGGTGCTGTTGAGTATAACTCAAAGCAACCCTATGAACAAAAGATCTGAATCTTGCTCTATCCTGAGCCATCCTCGCATTTCCTGACATACAAGAGCCCACTGCAACAATCACCAAATCAGTCCACCTGGTTGAGGGTCTTCCTCTCCTTCCCCAAACCTCCAACCTTGCCAGAATCATCTCCTTGGTGGAAATAGCCCCTCCTAGCAACATAACAAATGTGAGGTGAAGCTTCTTAATTCTGGCCGCCAAAGAGCACCCTCCCCAAAAAGTATCTGTTTCTCTTGGTGGTTTATGGGATGTTCGGTGCTCTTCTCCAATACCACAGCTCAAAGGCAAACATATGTAAGAGAGCCTTAAACTTCCTCTTAAACAGATGCTAAAATGAATGGGGGGGGAGGGAATGACAAAGAGTTGAGGATATTTCAGAGAATGGTACAAGAAGACAAAGTATAATGAACAAGATTAGAAAATAAAGAACATTTTTCCTTCTTTCAAGATGAAGCAGTTAAGGAAAAAAATTTAAGCGTCTAGCTCTAACAATGAAGGATTTTATAGGCAAAAAACAACTCAGGAAGCATCAAAAGAAAATGATAGGAATACAGAGCCATTATAGCATGACAATTTTCAATGCTGCAATATTTCAGCAAAGAACGTGAGTAAGAACAAACAGGACTGAAGGTGTCAACTGAAGGTACATTGAAGGCATTAAAGTAAAATGAGGCTTCAGGGATTTTTTTAACAAGTAGTTTCAAAATATTAACATGTCTTTGAAAAGAGAAATCTGGAAGAGCTTGACAAATGACTTGGCAAGGTCCAAAACTAGAGCTAATTACAAAGGTGACCCAATGAAAATATGGAAATTACCAATTATCACTCACACAAAGAAAATTTTGCCTTAGATGATTTTTAATGGCTGGAGAAATACTCGGAACTGTCAGAGAATCAAATTAGAGAGTGAAGACATGGAAGAAGGCTTATCACTGCTGACGTCAGAAGACGCTGACTGAAAGACAAAGGATGTTTTCACTTGTTTTATTCATTATGAAAAGGCATCTAACTGTGTAAATAATAGCTACAGGTAACTATAAGAATGGGAATTCCAGAACACTGAAATGTGCTGTGGAATCTATAGAAGAACAGGCAGTTGCTGGAACAACAGGATACCACGTGGTTATATATCAGGAAAGGGGAATGTCAGGGTTGTAGTCTTTAATTATATCCATTTATCTGTATAATGATCAAGTAATTCAAGAAGCTGAATTGTTGTTTTTTTAAAATTTTATTTTATTATTCTTTGTGTGTACAGTAAAATCAGATCTGACTAGTACAGTAGGAGATTGCCCCTCCTTCTCCAGCAGAGCATCTGGTGGATTTGAACCACTTATCTCTGGGATTGCAGTGCAGCTTCTTGCCACCTGGCCACCAGAGCTCCCTAAGAAGTTGAATTTTATGAACAATATGGCATCAGGATTAGAGGAAGACTCAACTACTCAAGATATGTAGATGATACAATTTTGATTTTGAAGAGTGAAGAGAACTCGAAGAACTAATGAAGACCAAAGACTACAATTTTCAATATGGATTACACCTCAACAACAAAACAAATCCTCACAATTGGCCTAAAAAAAGTCAATTAAAACAATAAAAGCATACAGTTGCCAAATATTTGAGTTGGATCCACAAGTAGTACTCATGGAAGCAGTAGTCAAGAAATCCAAAGATGTATTTTACGTTTCCCATAGTGCCTCTCACTACTTGAACTAGAGACTTGACTTGTTTTTTTTCAGTTCTTTCAGCTTCAGACATGCTGGGCTCTTCCTGTTTTATTCTTCAACTCTAGCTCTTTGCACAGTTTATCAAAATGCTTGTCCTCGCGCTGTCCTTTTGAAATAGTCTGTTTATATTTTACTTCTACATCCCTTTTGTTTTGGCTTCTCAACACTCTAGTGCAGTATTTACTTTTTTCTTACAGATTTGGTCTTTTTTTCTCCTGTCTTTGTTATGTTTTACTCTCTTCATGGATATGTCATCTCATAACTCATCTAGTCTTTTATCATTAGTGTTTATTCAATGCCTCAAAGCTATTCTTAGGTGTTTTTTAAATTCTGGTATAATAAACCCAAGGTCATAATTTGGTTCTTATGGACTTGTTTTCACATTCTTAAACTTCAATTTGAACTTGCATGAGTAATCAGTGGTCTGTTCCACGATCAGCACCTGCCCTGGTTTTCACTGCTTATACTGAGCTTCTCTATCAATTCTTTCTACAGATGTAGTCAATCTGATTTCTGTGCAGTCCAGCAGGTTAAGTCTATGTGTATAGTCACTGTGTTTCTTAAATGTGTTTGCTATGAACAGACAAAATGCAGTCATTTTATGTCCAAACTAATTTTTGTTCAAGATCATTTCCAACTACCAATCCTTGTTTCGAACTTTTGCTTTTTAGTCAATTATTAATGCATTGTGACTGTAGGTTTAGTTACTTTCAGACCAACAGTTTATGGTATTTGTCAGTTTCTTCATCTTGGCTTTTGTTATGTGCTGTCGAGTAACCTCCAACTCACAGTAACACTATGTACAACAGGTCTGAATCCTGCCTAGTCCTAAACCAATGTCACTATCTCCAGCACACTTGCACCTATTACTCCAGTCATTGTGTCAATCCATCCCATCCAGGGTCTTCCTCTCCTGCCTTCCACTCTTCCAAGCATGGTATCTTTTTCCAAGGACTGGTCGTCCTGATATGTCCAAAGTATTTGAGATGGAGCTTCTAAATCCTTGCCTCCAGAGAGGAAACTGGTTTCATCTTCTCCAAAGAAAGCTATTCATTCTTGTAGCAGCCCATGACATGTTCAGGACTCTTCTCCAGCAGCACAACTCTAAAGTTATTCATTTTACCAATTCTATCATCTTTATTCATTGTCCAGCTCTGATGCATAGCAAGTAATTACGAAGACCATGGCCTGGATCAGGCACATCTTAGTCTCTAGATGGACATCTTCGCACTTCAGCACTCTGGAGTAGTCCTGATAGAAGACTTTTCTAATCCAATTTGTCTTTTATTTTCTTGCTGCTGGTTCCAAGAGTTAATTGTAGCAAGCTGACGTTGTTCACAATCTGAATCTCTTCTCCATCAATCATAATGCTGCCCAATGGTCTAGTGATTAGTATCTTTTCTTGATGAGCTTCAATCTATATTGTAGATGGCAGTCCTTGACTTTCTGCAGCAGACATTTCAGGTTCTCTTCATTTCAGGTGCAACTTTGTGCCAATTAAGGAGAGAAAGACCCGCAAAGAGAGGAACTGATACAGTGTCTGCAGCAATGGGCTCAAGTTTGTTGGGGATAAGTGTGGAGCAGGATTGGCAGGGTTCACACAGGGTTGCACATAGGGTCACGCAGCTGTATTTGACTTGACGGCACTCAGCAACACCAACATTTTACATTGGGTAAACTCCTGTGAAAGACTTCATTAAAATGTTCAAAAGCAAAGACACCACTTCTAGCACTACAGTACTCTTTACCAACACACACAGTACTTTCAGTCTCAAATGCACGTTCAAGACAGTAAATAAAGAAGCCTGAAGAAGCTACCAGCTGCTCCATGGGAGACAGATGGATGATCTTTTTCCGCATGATTATCTCTGAAAACCCACTGAGGGGTCAACTATCAGTCCAATCTGACTTGATGGTACATAATTTTGTCTTTAATAGTAGATATAACATGGAGTTACAGAGGTGTTAACAGAATATTCTTTAGAAGAGAGGAAGACAGAGCTTCATCTCACATACTTTGCATATTTTGTCAAGTGGGACTAGTCCCCAGAGAAGAATATCATGCTTGGTTAAGCAGAAGGGCAGTGAAAGATGCTCACCAAGAGGGACCGACACAGTCGCAACAACTGAAGCCTCACAGTCCCTGGGAGGAGGGCACAGGAGCAAGCAGTGTTTCATTCTGCTGTGTAAGTTGTCACTATGAATCAATGGCACTCAACTATGAAGTCTTACTCGAATCAAAGCTTCAATTGCTTTGGAATTCATGCAGGTTATTTTATTATGTACCACTGAATTTCCTTAATCCTAATCTAAAATAGTAAGGAAAAAGTAAATGCTAGATTGACTTGATAAATTAAAGCTGATACTTACATTGTTTGCAAGTATAAGCAACAAAACCAGTGGTTAGAAGAACTCTTCGTCTTTACGCATTTCAACCCGTCGCATTATACACTTAGTGAAATTCTCTTCTCTAAAATGGTATTCATGCCAGATGCTGAGCACTTACTGGATTCGCCAAGTCTGAGTTCTTCGTTTGCTGACAATTTCATGGGAAGTGGTATCAGCTGATTTTTGGTTCCACTGTTTCCCAGTTGTCCTTCTTGCCCGAAACCAAAAGCAAAGACCTTTTCCAAATCAGGAACATAGGCAAGTGTGTGGGACCTATTAAATAAAAATGCATACGGTCAATTCTCAATCATCTGTGTGAGGTATGCAGACAGTAATACATAAGCTGCTGAAGTTAGGTTACCCACCGAGCACAAAATACTGAACTAGTCCCCAGGGGGTCAATTTAACCATCTGGGAACCAAGAAATTCTTGATGTAAGGTGGTTTGGGAATTCTTGTCTTTCATTCTATTATATACACAGGAGCAGACTAGATGAACAGAATCTACTTTAACTGTAAGACTGGAGATTTGAATTCCCTCAGGTGCTCAAGAAAAGGTTGAGGTGTTTTGTTGTTTGTTTTTTTTTTAAAAAAAAAAAACCAACACAAATCAAACCACTGAAATCCCTGTGGTGCACAGTTCTATTCTGACACACATGGGGTGCCAAGAATCTGAGTTGACCCAAGGGGGCAAGTCTACAGGTTTTTTCATAATGCCATAAATGACATTCTCAGCTAGAAACAATCAGGCTCTCCTGACTCTTGCTCCATTTGGGTTTTAGTATGAGAGGAGGAGGGACTATGGGGGTAGTGACTCTCAAACTTCGGCATGACCTGCAGTCTCATCTATGGGTCAGTTCTGAGTTGCTATCTAACAACTCAAGATTATAGCTGACCCTCTAGTGGTTTTCCCGAGGCTGTAAAGCACATCAGAGGACACTGTCCATCTGTCTTCCATGGAGCTGCTGATGGATTCAGTGTGGGCACAGCACAAGTAAACCTTGCTGAGCCAGAGTTTTCAACTTGAGGCTTAAGATTTACCATTTAATTTGCTCCTTGTCAAATATTACCAACACTTCATCATTACAGGAGAAAACAGATGTATTATGTGCTAGTATGGGCAAATGAAAATTTTAGATGATTATCAAGAGTCAGAATGAGAATGAGAAGAGTCAGATGGATACCTTCAAGGATTCCCTGTGGTTTCAGCCATTCCATTAAACATCTCCAGTTTGACTTTTCTTCTAATATATATTCTTTAAAGTAATGTGTAATTTGAAGACTCCAAAGTGATGATAGTATTTCTTTGAGTCCACCCAGACAAAGCCCAGAGAATCACACTCCACAAGTCTAATATCCATGTGTGCAATTTACTCTATTCATCATAGGAGTATGCATGATCAATACTACTGACTGAGGGTACATACAATTGTGTGTTTTTTTTTTACTATGAAGGGCAACTTCAGTATTTATAGATAGTATGGGTTCACTTGTGATGAGTGAAAAAAAAAAGATGCCCACAAGAACAATTACATTAACTACACTAAAATCCAATATCCCATTAAATGTGTGTAGGCCCAGGAGAGTCAAGATAATCATTTGTGAGTTTTGTTTAACAACCCAGAAACATACTTCAAAATAAAAGTTCAACGAAACAGTCCAAAGGTATTTCACTAGAACAGGGAGTTAATTCTACTTTAAGAGACAGTTAACTTTACTCTTTTTAGTAAGTGACTAAGACGTATGTATACTAAGATTTCTTATTAATATCTAAATTTTATCTATTTGATACTATTTGATATTAACAGAAGAAATGAAAGGAAATTTTTATTTAGTCAACTATTTTCACGAACTGTATTGATTTTGTTAAAGTGTGTTGACACTGTGTAACTTACCTTCCACATGCTATCTGGGTCACTCTCTTCCCAATGAGCTCAGTCACCAAACGGGGTCTTAGTTCGTTCTGTGTTGAATGGTGACCAAGCTGCCCGTATTCTCCAGCACCAAAAGTAAACACCAGCCCATCCTAAAGAAAGCTTCATGTCAGATTCTAGAGAAATGCTAGAGAAGCAGCAGTCTCTGCAATTTTTTTTCCCACTGAGCTATCACCAACTCAGTGACCATGTGCACAACTGCTTAATTCCTGCCCACCTTTATAAGTGCTGGAGTGCGTAAGACCTTGGTTACAATCATTGTGTTAACCCAACCCATTGAGAGTTTTCTTGATTTTCTACTTGGGTATCACGACTTTTCCCACAGATTCGCCCCTCCTAATAACATGCCCAATGTAAGGAGCTCTGGTCTCATAGTGTGTACCCCAAGGTCAGTGGTTCAAATCCACCAACCACTGAATAGGAAAATGAAGTTTAAGAAATCAGATGCAAAGTTACCAATAGAATCAAGGGTAATTAATTGGGCCTCTGAATTGCTCTTATTTCTGTTGGGTGCCATCTAGTCTGCTTTGGCTCATAACAATCTTATGAACAACAGATTAAAACCCTGCCTGATCCTGTGTCATCCTCACCACCTCTGTACCAAGCCATCTCCTTAAGGATCTTCTCTTGCTAGGTATTTAGTCCTAGGCATGATGTCTTTTTCCAAAGACTGGCCTCTCCTGGTAACATGATCAAAATATGTGAGACCAAATTTCACATCCTTGCCTATAAAGGAACACTCTGGATTACCTTCCTTAAAGGATGATTTGTGTGTTTTCATAATCCATGAGAAATTTAATACTCAATACTACAATTAAAACTCAGCTCTTCAGTCTTCCTTATTTATTGTTCCTTATTCATTTCACACTGGACGCCACTGAAAAGCATGGTTTTGATCAAGGACATCTTAGTTTTTATAGTGACATCCTTTTTCTACAGTACTTTAAAGAGGTCCATCACTGCAGATCTGCCTAAGGCAGTAGGACATTTGATTTATGGACTGCTGGTTTCGTGGTTATTGACTGAGAATCCAAGTAAAATGCAATCTTTGAAAACTTCCATCTTTTCTCTTTTCATCATGACATGGCCAATTGGTTTAAGTAAGAGATTTTTGTTTTCATGTTGCCAACATGTAATACATGCTCATCTTCCTTCTTCAGGAAGTCCTTTTCACTTTCAGTAAGCAACATTTTGTCATTTGCTTACTGAAGGTTGTTGATGAGTCTTCTTCAAACCCTGCTGCCACGGTCTTCGTACAGACCAACTTGAATTATTTACTTAGAACACACATCAGGGAAATATGGTGCAAGGATACACCCTTACACACTTTTCCTGAGTCTAAATTATGCAATATCCCTTTAGTCTTTTTACTACTTCTTGGCCAATGTATAGGTTCCCCATGAGCACAACTGCCAAGATCTAGAATGCCCATTCCCCTCAATATTATGAATTTATCATCATCTCGTCAGTCAACTGCTTTTGCATAGTCAATAAATCTCAAGTATCTTTCTGGTATTGTGATTTCAGTCAAGATCCATCTGACATCAGCAATAATATCTCTGGTTCTGTAGCCTCTCAATTCAGCTAGAATTTCTAGCAGTTCTCTTTCACTATTGCTTTTGCCATTTTTCAACAATCTTAAGATTTCATCTGTGTGTGATAATGATATTGTTGATTAACTTCCACATTCTACTGGATCACTTTAGTTTTGAATGGGCACTCTGCAGTATGGATCTCTGCAGTTAGAAAAAAATTAACGAAAGCACCATCACAGTAAAAATTCCAGGTTATCAGAAATCTGATATACCAAAAGTGACAGTTATTCCTTGGCAAACACTAACTCCACACTCATGACTGGGGCTTCCTCAACCTACATTGCTTTTTCCATAATAAACATCAGAAGTCCCAAGAATAAACCTACCTTTGTGAGAAGAGCAGTGTGAGAACCCCCACAAGAAAGAAATTCTACTTTCTGGTCCTCCAGTTCTTCAATAAAAGAAGGAAACACTTCATCTGTAAGGAAAATAGTTGAAACAAACAAACAAAAAAAAATGTATGTTGCATTTCACACTGGAGTTATGGTAAACATCTGAGCTAATAATCCCTTTTAAGTCAACAATAACTCATCATTTTCCACCCAGAAAAGGCTCTGTATTGACATATTTTGGAACAAGTTCTAGGTCTTAACATAAGACTGAGCCAATGATTGGCAGGGCCACATTTAGAAGTGCCCACCTGACAAAAAAATAAGGTCACTTCCAGAGCCGGTTCTGTTTCAACTTGACTTGGTAACTTTAATGGCAACATGTTTTACATTTTCAATTTTCACATCGTTTTTGTGTTCCTTTAAGATGGAACTAACCCATAGCTGACCCTCCAATGGTTTTCAGAGGGAGTTAAAAATCATACAGGAGTAAACTGCCCATCCTTCTCCCGCAGAGCAGCTTGTGGAGCTGAACTGTGAGCCTTAAAAATTGAAGTGATGTTTCTTACCACTAGGCCACCTTTTACATTTCCAATTTTCATATGGGATGACCTTTTTCTGAACATTGTTTTAAAAAAATTCTAAAGTACATTCTGCATTATAATTTCTGTCACATACTACCTCTTTCCTTTGCAAATCCTCTTAAGAGATTCAGCAAAAATCTTTGAATTGTATCTTTGCTCTTTCTCTTTACTCATTGTTCTAGCACTGACCTATGGGTTACTTTGTGTAAATACTACTGGATGTTATTGAGAAAATTAGCATTTGATCAATGAGGGAGAAATGACATTTACTACTTAGCTGGTAAAGCACAGCTGCATTTATTACACCTAAAAACTAATGAGCTATTTGGGATTATGATAAATTTTGCCAGTTGCTTTTTTGGGGTAGTTTAACAACTGTTGTTCTGTACCATTTAGTCAGAACCAAGTGACAGCTGACCCTCCAGTGGGTATTCAGAGACAGTTAACTGCATGGGAGAAGACTGCCTTTAAGTTAAAAAATAATGTGGTCAACCTTGGCATTTAACAGCAAAGGGTGAAAAGAAGAAAAAAGTTTAGAGAAAAAGTAAAGAACTGACAAGTTATTGAAGGATGGGCAACCTCGTCCCCTGCCTCTGAAACTCCACCAGGGGTCAGCGATAGGTTGGTTCCAACTGAAGTTACTAAGCCCGTGTTTTCTGACCCTTGGCCCCATGCCCTTTTCACCATTCTACCCTGAAATATATCTCAACTCCAGTTATAACTTCCACTCCTATGCACCAGCCTGTTTAGCCTTGAAGACAGAAATATCAAAGTACAGGGCCTATAATAAGTCAGAATTTCGATTGTTTTTGATAGGATGTTAAACTAATCTCAGCTAACAAATTTAACAGTAATAGTTTTGTAAATATATTTCTAAACCTTTGGTGTGTCCCAGGCCTAGTTGTCCAAGATTATTTTTTCCCCAGGAATAAATATTTCCAGACATCGACAAGGCCATGCTGTGGGCTTCTCCTGCAGATATCTGAGCCAAAGGGATTCCAAGAAGATGTGTCACAGTCTGTGGTAAATAAGCTGATTCAATTTTTTCTCCTAGTCCCAGCTGGCCATGGCAGTTGTTTCCCCAAGCAAACAGCTCACCACCTTGACAAAAAGAAAATAGTTATTAAGTTCAAAATGCATCAGACATAGCACAAGGGTATTGGGTATGCAATATACACAGCATAGGATGTTGCTGTCTGGTGCTGTGGAGTTGATTACGATTCACAGCTACCCTACGAACAGATCTGAACCTTGTCCTGTCCTGTGCCATCCTCACAATCTGACACTCAAGCCCACTGCTGCGTTCACTGTGACAACCCACCTTGTTCACTGGCCCTCCACCTTTCGAAGCAGACTGTCCTTCTCTAAGGAATAACCTCTTCTATTAACATGTCTGAAGTGTCAGATGAAGCCTCATCATTTTATCTACAAGAAGCATTCTGGCTGCACTTTCTCCAAGACCTATTTGTTCCTTTGGTAGTCCATGCAATATTCAAGACTTTTCTGCAGCTCTAGAGTTCAAAGGTGCTAGTTCCTTCTTATTCATTGTCCAACTCTAAAATGCATAGCAAGTAATTTAGAATACTATGGCTTTAATCAGAAACACCTTATTCATCAGTAATTCAGAGAGGTCCTGGACTACAGTCTCAGTGCAGTATGTCTCCTAAGCTCCCGAATGCTGGTACCAAAGGTGTTGTGTGTGGATTCAAGTTAAGATGAAGTCATTAAACACGTCAATCTTTTCTCGTATCACGATGTTGTGCATCAGTCCAGTGGTGAGAGTTTGATGATATTGAGATGCAATCCATACTGAAGGCTGTAGTCCATGACCTTCTATATTCTACAGCAATTACTTCAAGCCTTCCTCACTTTCAGCAAGCAAGATTGTATTATCTGTATAAGGACTGAGGAGTCTTAATCTGATCCTAATACCACATTCTTCAGAGAATCCGGTTTCTTGAATAATTTGCTCAGTATAGAGACTGAATAGGTATGGAGAAAGGATACAATTCTGACACATCTTTCCTAATTTTAAACCTTATAGTGCTTTTGCTTTATTTTTTTTAAGTGTCATCGAGTGGTGGAATGCCTTACAGAAAGCTAAGTAGTTCTAATCCATCAACCATACATTCCATGAGAAAAAGGCACCCAGTTTTTCATAAAGATTTAGAAACCTCGGTCAGGTTTCTGAAGCTCTCTGCATCAGAATCAACTGGAGAAAAGTGGGATTTTGTTGTTTTGTTTTTACCAGCTACCAAGTTTTCTAAATCAAGTAAAGCATTTGCTCTCACTGAAACTAAAGGCTGGCAGTTTGAACTCACCTAGAGGTGTCATGTAATCAAGTCCTGGTGATTAACTTTCATAAAACTTAGACTGACTCATCGAGTTTGAGCTGGCTCCTAGCTGATCTGCTAGAATTTGAGGCTGTGAATCTCATGGGAGCTGACTGTCCATCTATTTCTCAGGAAAGCATCGATTTCAACCAGCAGAGAAGTGAAGCCTTGAGTTAATGGTGCCATTCCCTGGATGGGGCCACCAGAGCTCCTTATCTGTAGTAAGTAGTGAATGAAATTCTATGGCAAACAGTTCTACTCTCTAACACATGACTATGAATTGGAATCAGCTTGATGGCACCAGTTTTGAGCTTTTAAAATTTATCAGCCTCAAAGAATAGATGAGCACGGTCAGTTCTCTTCTATTTCCCAACTTTTATTCTTTTTTTCTGGTAAAAGAACATCTCTTATCAGTAATAAAAAGTTCTCAACACTGTTCTCCTTTCTGGCCTTACTCACTCCACTAGGCTATGAGCCTCTTGAAGGCAGAAGAAGTGTTTCATTTTAATATTCTCTGGTGGTCTACTGGCAAGCAGTTGTGCTGCAATCACCAGCTGCTTATGGGACAAAGATGGGCAGTCTCCTCCTGTGTGATTTACTGCCTCTGAAAACATGCCAGAGGATCAGCTATGGGTCGGTTCTGACAGTACAATACACAATAACCAAAACCTGACTGACTAACTGAAGGCAGTGGGATCTTTTTTGGGGGGGTTAGGGAAAAATGCCTGAGTATTGCAAATGTTAACACACTTAACTGCTAAAGAAAAACTTTGCTTTTTTATGGTTTGATGTCATCCAAAGGTCAAGAAATCCTTGCTGGTGATGTCTTATCAGCCTTTGACTCAGAGACTTTACGCACAATAGCTCTGAAGCCTGCCCTAGCCTTAGCCAGTCTCACTGATTCCATCCAACACAAGTACCCCCATTAACGCAGTCACTGAGTCAATCCATCTTGTCCAGGGTCTTCCTCCCATAACCTGTCCCTCCAGCCTTCCAAGGATGATGTCCTTTCCCAAGGACTGCTGCCTCCTGGTCGCATGCCTAATGTATGTGAACAGCACCATAAGTTTTGATTGTGGAGCTCAGCAAGCTTAAATTGTTAACTACCTCACTGTTTTCTATCTTGGTGCTGCTAGCAGTCAGTTGAACCAATGGTTGAGGATCTTTGTCTTCTTAATGTATATCCAATAAATCAGCCATTAAAAATCCTCTGGAACATGTTTCTACTTTCATACACAAGGATTACAATGAGTGAGAAGTGACTTGACAGAAACTGGTGATAGTGATGGAATTTCAGTGATTTGCTCACCATGTCCCACAATCATGCTTGGCACTAACAGTCAGAAAATCTCAAGACAAGTTGCTATATGAAATCTGCCTTTAGGGATCTCTCCAGAGTGCCAAAGAGCAACAATGACAACCTAGAGACTAAGGGGCAGCTGATCCAGGCCATGGTCTTCACATATTTTTGCTGCGCATCAGAGAGCTGGACAATGACTCAACATGACAGAAGAATCCTCGATGTCTTTGAGTTGTGGTGTTGGAGCAGGGTGTTGAACATACCATGGTCTGTCAAGATAAATAGGCCGGTATTGGAGAGTGAAACCCAGTTTCTCCTTGGAGACAAGGATTTTGAAGTTCTGTCTCACATACTTTGGGTAAGTGACCAGGAAAAACCATTCTTGCAGAGGGCAATCATGCTTGGAAGGCTGGAGGGACAGCACAGGAGACGAAGATTTCAAATGAGATTGTTGTTGTTGTTATATGCCTTCGAGTCATTTGCAACTCATAGCGACCCTATGTAAAACAGGCCTAAACCCTTCCTATTCTGTGCCAATCCCATTGCCTCTGACACATCCATCCCAATTACCCCAGTCACTGAATCAATCCACCTCATAGAGGGTCTTCCCCTCCTGCGCTATCCCTCCACCCTACCAAGCATATCCCTCTCCAAGGACCTGTCCCTTCTTACAACATGTCCAAAGTATGTCAGACGGAGTCCCAGAATCCTTGCCTCCAAGGAGCAGCCTGGTTTAACCCTCTCTAGGATGAATCTGTTTTCTTGGCAGTCCAAGGTACATTCAATACTCTTTTCCAGCACCACAGATCAAAGGCATCAATTCTCCTTCTATCCTCCCTAGCCATTGTCCAACTCTCTGATGCATAACAAGTGATTGCAAAGACCATGACCTGTATCAGGCACACCTTAGTCTCCAGAGATACCGTTGCTCTTGAGTACTTTAGAGAGGTCCCTAACAGCAGACTTTCCCATCGCAATACGTTTTTTGATTTCCTGGTTGCTGGTGCCAAGAGTGTTGACCGTGGAGCTGAGCAAACTGAAGCTGTTAACAATCTCAATCTCTTTGCCATCCATCCTGATGTTGCCTATTGGTCCAGTGGTGAGAATCTTTGTCTTGACATTTAGCCTCAGTCCATATTGAAGGCTGCAGTCCTTGACCCTCCGCAGCAAGTGCATGAGGTCCTCCTCAGTTTCAGCAAGCAGGATTGTGTCATCTGCCTAACGCAGATTGTTAATAGATGGATTGGGGAAATGGGGGTAGGTGTGTCTGAGTCATTGAGATTGGCTTAGGCTAGGGCAGGGTTCAGTGTCATTGTACACGCGGTCACTATGATTCATAGTGGACTCAATGGCACATAGCAAGTCACCGTGTATGCATCTGGTAGTTAAGTGTGTATCCAACTGTACTAACAAACCCAAAGACCACTGGTGGTTCAAATCCACCAAGACTTTCTCAAAAGATGATACATCTCCCATTTAAAGTCTTGGAACCTGATGAAAGTTTATTTTAAGTTGTAATCCACTCATTGACAGTTTCGTGATTCATCTTATATTCATGTCTGCTCTACAGATTTAAACAATTTCCTTAACCTCAACTTCTCATCTATCAACCATAGATATTCCTTTCACAGTCAAATTTCTTAGGGTTTGTTTTTTCCCTGATTGTCATTTCTAACCATCTTATCTGATTCTAAGTAGGAAATAAAGGACTCAGAAGAATCCCTCAATTTGAGAGGAAATTGTTAGAATATGTAACAGGTTGACCTGGGGGATTCCGAGGACCTGTCATAGTAGTTGGAAGAGCACTGGGAAAAAGAGTTCAAGAAGTGTGGCCCACGCTACTAGAACCTCTACTTGGAATATTATTGCTTGTTAATTTTTGACTCATGTGCTTTTAACTTGTTAAATTTGTGTCTTCTAGGTTGCAACACCTCCATGATACACCTTCAAGGATATGAACATGTACGGCTAAGCACAATTAATAACAGTGCATCTAAATTCCAAAATCAATCTCCATAATAGTCTATGTGTTTCCTACTGCCAAAGGGGCCCTTTAGAGTAGTGAGAGAAGATCTTCACCCTGAAACACACAGAGTCCCTTTTCAGCAGGAAGTAGCTAAGAGACTACGCCATCCCCTTTTCCTTATGAATCAGGGTGAAGTCTTTCTCAGGGAGGAGTGATAGGGAATGGCAAAGGACACACTGACAAAGGAGATTAATCAGAACTGGCTTTGACAAGCACTGTGGCAATGGGACAATTAAAACAGACATTCGGGGGGGGAAGAACGAACTGGGGAGGAGGGTAGAGAAAACAGTGCAACAATGAAGGAATGAAAACCCAAAATCTCTGTAAATGTTCATTAAAACTAATAAAATTTAATAATAATAATTTAAAAAAAAAAGTGTGGCCCAGGCCTGACCTTCAGAGAGACATTTTCATTATTCAAGACATTTTCATTGATTCATATTTAAGAAAATAAAGACAGGGAACAAAATGAGTGTATAGTAATTTTGAAACATGCCGTATTTTCCCATTAACTCTACACATAGACACATATTCATTATCTCTAAAAAAAACCATTTTCAAGAAAAATACCTTTTTACACTAATACAATGGAATTCAACACAGCACACAGGAGCAATGATTTAGTAAATCACTAATTTAGAAGAGACTGGAGAACATTATGGTAAGTGAACTAAGTCCGATAAGGATAAATACTGTACAAGACAATTATGATACAAATAGATAACTAGTAAAATGTGTATGAGGAACTAAGGGGGAAGGTGGGAACACAGGAGTAAGGATGGAGGGGACAATCATAGGGTCACACAATTTGATGGGTAGAGGGATGGGTGAAATAAAGAAAATCTGGTATGACAAACAATGAACTTTCCAAGTAAACTAGTATAAAATAATTTTTTAAAAAAGTACCTTTGGAGAGTGCAAGGGAATAATCATCTCCACATGCTATTTGAATTATAATTTTTTCTTTCACAACACAACGAAGCCTAATGAAAGAAAATATCTGGTCAGTCACCAAATGACAATTACAGTTACCAAAGTTAAAACAATTAACTGTTTAATCAGGATTCAAGTGCAAGGGAAAAAATTTAATATAATGACTTTGCATATAAAAAAGAAAATTAATCTACGTTTTAATTGATAAAGCATCAATTATATATCTGTAATGAGATTTTAAGTCCCCTTTGCTCCGGAACTCAGACTGCAAACTTTTAGCAGCACAGCTTCATACCTCTAGGCCACCAGAACTCCTAGGCAGCTACTGACCCACTTTTCATTTTTTATAAAGAAAAAAACTTTGTGTTTTTGATTAGGGTTTTCATAGCAATTTAAGTTCTCTACACAAGCTGTTCAGGAACATTGTTTACAGTCTTAACAATTAGAGTCTCATTCTTGCTCTGGTTATTGCATCTAACGTAATTTTTATTAAGAAATAGTTCCTTACCTTGCGTCGTTTATGCTGTACTCATACGCTTCACCCTCTGATGACAGAATAATCATGTGGTTTGCTCCTTGGTCCATAGAATATATCTTAATTTTATTTCCTAGTTTAATATAATCTGAAGAGTAAACCAACAGGAATAAAGATCACTAATATAATATATTATTGTTATATGTATAACACACTGTTAAATTATTCCATTATAATACCATGAAAACATCCAGGAAAATTTCTACTAGATGTTTTTGATTTAACATTAATATGTTTTCAAGAACACTCAAGTTAAGAAAAGCATGCAAATACATTGCCGTCATGTACTGTTGAGTTGGGACCAATCCTTAGCTGACCCTCCAGTGGGTTTTCAGAAGCATCTTATGTCACAGGAGGAGATGACCCATTTTTTCCTGACACGGCTGCTGATAGATTCGAATAGCATGACTTTGGGTTGGCAGCATAGCTCCTTGCCACTAAGCCAGTATGACTGTCTAGTACCTGGACAATGGATATATTCTTTTTTTCCATTTAGAGAAGCATAGATTCATACTTTGCTTGAAATATATAAATATAAGAATCCACAAAAACTTAATTGTCAAGTATCATAATGAGTCAAAAGCATCTCAACCTCCAGAAGATAGAAATTACATGAGGAGACTGCTCACCTTTCTCTGAAAAAGCATATGGTGGATTCAAACTACAAGCCTTTGGGTTGGCAATGAAACTCCTTACCATTATGCTATCAGCTCCATAGTAATAAATTGGACCACACAGTTGGGACAAAGAATTCTAGATTTGATCTGATAGAAAGGAAAAGATTTGTAAGAGAATGCATCAATTTAGGACTACATAACACACTAAGTGCTGAAGAGCAAAGATGTTAGCCTGAAAAAAAAAATTATGTTAGCCTGGAGACTAAGGTGCGCCTACACGGGGCATGGTCTTTGCTAGTACTTGCTATACATCAGCAAGCTGGAAAATGACTAGGGATGAAAGGAGAACTGATGCCTTTGAGCGGTGTTGCTGGAGTATTGAACATACCGTGGACTGCTAGAGCAAAGAGGTTCCTCCTAGAGAGTGAGACCAGGCTACACCTTGGAAGCATGGATTCTGAAGCTTCTTCTGACATACTTTGGACATGTTGCAAGGAGAGACCAGTTCTTGGAGTGGAACATCATGCTTGGGAGGGTGGAGAGACAGCGCAAGATGAAGACTCTTGATGAGATGGATAGATTCAGTGACTGGGGTAATGGCGGTAGGTGTGTCAGAGACAGTAAGATTGGTACAGGATAGAGAAGAGTTTAGGGCTGTTGTAAATAGGGTTGCTATTAGTCACAGGTGACTCGATGGAACAACTCATATATATCGTAACATATTTAACAGACTATTCTGAGTTAATTTTTAAATAGTCATTTGACTATCAACAGCTAAAAATTTTAGATGTCAGGCAAAATTATGAACAGAGTTGAGATACAAAAGTAGCACAAATGAATACAAGAAATTAAGACACTTAACTTTCATTGTAAACCAAACAATACTAACACTATTTTTTAAAAAGATGTCAATAGGGCAAATTTTTCATTATGAAAGTGGATACCTTTTTAATCTATATACAGATCATCTGGGAGGCTGGCCTCTATGAGGAGGAATGTGGCATCAGAATTGGAGGAAGACTCAAAACCTGCGTTATATAGATGCCATAACTTTGCTTGTTGAAACTGAGAACCACCTGACACCCCTGCTGTAGAAGGTCAAGGACTACAGCCTTTAATATGGACTTAAGGTCAACATCAAGAAAATGATTCTGACCACTGGGCTAATTGGCAGTATCATGATAGACTGTGAAGAGATCGAGATTGTTCAGTTTTAGTTTGCTTGGCTCTACAACCACTCTTGGTACCAGCAGCCAGGCAATCAAATGATAAGGGGGGGGGGAAAGTCTGCTGTCAAGGACCTCTCGAGACTACTGAAGAGCAAAGATGTCAGTCTGGAGATTAAGGTGTGCCTGATCCAGTCCATTGTCTTCACAATTACTTGCTTTGCAGAAAGGTGGATAATGACTAGGAAAACATGGACTTGGTGAGAGTAATGAAGCTGGAGATAGAATGATTGAATTTTGCACAATGACTTATTCATTGCAAATACGTTTTTTTAAGAGACATAAACGTAGATTATACACATGGATTTCACCTAATAGTATGCATAGGAATCAGATCGATTACATCTGTGGAAAAAACC